ACCCTAACCCTAACCCTAACCCTAACCCTAACCCTAACCCTAACCCTAACCCTCCCCTCCATTCCGCTTCTCTCCCCTTCCCTCCCCTTCCCTTCCCCTTTCCTCCTCCTTCCCCTGTCCTTTCCTCTCCCTTCTCCCCTTTTCTTTCCCCTCCTCTCTCCTTTCCTTTCCCCTCCCCTCCTCTCCTCTCTTCCCTTGTTGACACTACTGCGTTGCCATATGCTTGGCTTGGGCACACTTCCCAGCTCAAACCAAACTTTCCAGGATCCAGAGAGGGAAGCTGACCCAGCAGCACTGCTCACTGATCCTGCATGGCTCCTCCTGGTCCCCCAGCACTGCAGCAGAAATGTCTAATTAGGTACGACAGACGAATAGATATGCACACTCAGGGATCTTTCTACACAAGCATAAATTAAAGGGAAGCAAATATTTATTTTAAACGGGCATGCCATAGCTGGCAAAATGCTAATCTGCACAGAAAAAAATACCCTGTAAATAAGCTCCCCAGAAGCATCTTGCATTCACCGAGCTTCATCTTTCTGAGCAAACTAACAAGAAAATAAAATCAACTGCATCTATTATACACTCCCTTCAATAAGAAATTCAGACAAGCTTAGGATGACATGGGCCAGTGCCTTTGAAGCTATCGGCTGCCGCCCCCAGGAGCACCGCAGGCTGTTTGTAAGGTGCCTACAGAAGGTACTGAAGAAAATCAGACTTACAGGATTCAATTCACAGCTCAGGGATCTTCAGCCTCAGTAGGGAAAATGCTCGGGGGCTGCAGATCAAAAGCACTGAAAAGCACTACTGCACCCTGTAGGACCAGGACTGGGAGTCGCAGGGATGGGTTTGTCTCTTCCACTGACCCAAGGAGCCCAAGCAAATCACTTCACCTCTACCTTCCCCTACCATTCACCCCTGCAGCGCCCTGCAGGAATCACAGCATCTCTCCTTGTGCATGGAGCAGTACCCAGTGCAACAGAGCCTTGCGCCCTATAGGAACGCATCCACTGACATCCACTTGCTCTTCTAGCCTTGGAGGAACACTGCAGCCCCAGCTCACCCCAAAGCTCAAGGACGGGAAGCAAGCTACTAGGATTTCAAATTCCGGGAGATGAACGGCGGATCTTGCAGTGGCCGTAACAAACCTGCCCTGGGGATTGGCACGTTTTTAGGCAGGGAGGCAGGCGATGAAACCTATCAGCAGCACCTGAAGCTGGCTCCCTTTGTCCTCTGAGCCGCTCCCATCCTCTCACAGACGTTCTCCTCACTGGCAAGGATGCAGAGACCACCACTTTCATCATCAACATGCATACTGCAGTGCTGTCAGCACCTTCTTAAGGTTATTCCCTTTTTCTTTTCGCTTATATTTATAAACCCTGTGCAGAGTTGCTATGGTTTCTGATACCGTCAGTCCGATTGGTATTCAGCGCGTTTCCTCTCACCTTCACCATTCCAATGACCTTTACTTCACAAGGAGGATCTCACACCATCAGCCCGTTCAATTAGATGTCACACAGCACGCTGTGTGAGAACACCCACTGCCAGGGCAGAAGAGGGCTCTGTGGAACCAATTCATCTGCAAAATGCCATCTCTCAGATAAACAATGGTAATTATTTCCATGCAAATTGGAACCAGAAAGCAGCCCCAGCAATGCAGCTGCTAGACAGAGAGGAGAGCCACGAGAAGAAATTTCAGCTGCTAACATCTCAGATACTCTGCTGTCTTCCTAAAAGCAAGCATCTTCCTACCTTTCTCGTTCTGCAAAGTCGAGTTAAAGAAGCTCTTACTTCCAAGACAGTTTCTTTTACATCCATTGAACAACTTATGCAAGGGGCTGCTCGCAAATGGGAGCAACACAGCTGTAATCTGCTACTAAGAATTTGTCTCCTTATCAAACTAATATTCTATTTTAAGAGACCTTGCACAAAGCTCTACTAGTTACTGTACAAGACAGACAAGAGGGATGCATTTGGAGGAAAACAGTCTTCAAACACAGCAGTGCTGGGAATGGTCTCAACACCTTCATGTGCCAATCAGACCATGGGATCCCCAAAGCCCCAACCCAAACACTGAACAAAACTCTCTAACTCTGAGAAAATGGCTTCTCCCTAACTTGGAGGAGAAATGTTCCTACTACAACAAAGACATAAAACCACAGAAGCCAGAAAATGGAGCTTGATCATGATACAGCTCTAGCCATGCCCTTGCAGCAGGGATGGGAACATCACAGCACTTCACCTCTTCACAACTGAACCAAAGCTTTTCTAGTGGCAGTTTCTTCATGTTGAGGAAAACAGTTCTTGCATTGGGCAATTGGCTTTGCCAAGACATCTCATTCCATGTGCTCTCAACGCTAGCAGGGGCCTTTTAAAGAAGAACAGGAAATTCCCTGGAGCTGTCCAATACATACACAGGAGCACGACGCTTCAGCTGGCCAGAAGTCAGCTCTGTATTGCACTCAGGGCGCTCGGAACAGCGGTGTATGCAGCAAGTGGGTCAGATGGACAGCTCACCCCTGGTCTGTGCGACCAGGCAGGAATGTGGAGAACATCACACAGATGTGTGCTGTGCAGACAAGAGGACATCACTTGCTGTTGCAGCTCTGCTAGCTAAGGTTCAGATGGAAGTTAGGCTCTGAAATGCAGGTGATCACAGCATCTGCAGCCATGGACAACTTTTCATGCTGTGCTTTTGTGGAACAACATGAGAGGGAAAAAAACCCACATGCCCTGCTTTCCTGAATGTCCCTCCGCCATCAGCTTCCCCCAGCATGCCACCAGGTGGTGCAACACGGGCTGTGCAGATCAGATACGACCATCCTTTTTGCCAGCCATGGGAAAAGCAAGCTCCTGATACTTGTCTCTAACTACTGGCCGGTAGCTACAATTCCCTGGAGAGCATCAGGTCTTTGTTCAATCAACCTTTGCTGTCACTGACCTGGGTGGTTTCCTACAGCCCATTTATTCCATCAGAGGGCTATTGAGACTGCTCCTGCTCCTGCCTGTGCCTGCTGGGCACACCAGTGGTACCAGTGACACCGGTGAATTGCTTTTGCATCCCCAGGATCCTTCCTTCTTCAGTGGCACCACCGTGCCACCTGCATTTTCATCATGCTCAGAAAAAAATCTCTGCCCATCAGCTGATCCAGGAGAGCCTATTCCTAAAACAGACCAAAGTTATTTCTGTTTCCTCTGCTGCTTTTACCTCCTCGTGTCCGGATTGTTCAGCTCAGTCTTTGCTCGCTCGATGCAGGATTTCTTTACATCACACAAGTCTTTTAATCTTTCCATGATCAAAACAAGTCGGAGCACCTTTACTATTGTGCGGTCCCTTTTAAACTGGGGTGAGCTGAACTTTCTATGCAAAGATGTGACCTCTCCTGAAATCCCTTGATCAGCAATTTCCCTTGCTCTCTCTTTCATGTCGGAGGCATTATGAAACACTGGAAACTACACATACTTCCAGAAGGAAGTTAGTGAGAAAATTCAAATAATCAACTCGGCCCCAAGAGATGTGGGGTCTCTTTCCAACTTTGAAAGCTCTTTCCTAATAGAAGTTTTGCTTTTGAAAGTCTTTTGTTGAGCAAGTAGCTGAAGATACAGCTTCTCTAGAGTCTGATTATACGTTCAGCCCGGGGCAAGCAATAAAAAACCTGCCCAGTGCTGTGAGGTCTGAATCAGGTGCTAACACCGAACATGTGCTGGAGCCTCCACTTTCCTCTCCCTCAGTGCTGGGCACTGGAACATTCACCATTTTATAGCCTGGGGCAATGAAAGGCCAATTTAAGAGGGAAAGCATTGCTGACAGTGTTATCCAAAAAAAGCCAGGCTCTGCTTTAACTGCTCTCCACCCAAGACTTTGGTGAATCCAACACCACTGTGACATGCTGAAAAAATCTGCTTTGAACAGCAGCCTTTGGAAGCAGCTACAGAAAAGCAATCACGGGCCCAGAGACAGACAGACTCTGTATGTATATTTATTACTTCATACAATCAAATTGCTTATTGTACAAAAATTAGCAGTGCTACCCAATAGGACTTTCACAGACGTTTAGAAAGAGACATGTAAACACAGCTTTAGAACTCGATTTTATGTCACATAGGTACAAACTTGTGTGCGTATACACATACACACGGGCGTGTATGCAGCTCTATACACAGACCAAATTGTTGCAGCAGGCTGTGAGATGCTAGTACATTGTTCTCTAATGAATTAAGCACCCTTAAAGAAGGCTTTCCCCCAAAGGGACACAAGTTGGACTTGCATTCCTCCCATTGTTAGCCTGGCCTTCCTCCCCTAATTGCTCCTTGCTACTTCTCACTGTTGGCTCTCTTCTAGAGGCAACGATTCAACCTTCAAGCCCACTTAGTTGAGTGCAACAGTGAGACTGGGTGGAGATGAAAGGGTTGGCGTTAGAGCTAGTCACCTACACTGAAGAGCCTCAGCATGAAAGGGATGGTCTCTGCCTCGTGGGCTGCCTGATCCACAGGAGCCTGCTGTAACACTCAGGCATTGCATAGACAAATATCTATGGCCTGGAAACTTTTCACTTTGTTATTCTGCAGTAGAAAAGAATGAATGGACCTGTACAGAAAGAACACTTTTAAGGTACAAAATCATGATCTTTAGAGAAAAACTGCAGCACCCAAATAATTCCCACTGGAAGGAATGTCCAGTGTTGTGAATTCTGCTTACCGTGTAAGAGGTTAGTTCAACACCTGGAGGGAAGGAATGACATTTCTGCTAAACATTGTGCTTTCAACAGCAGCAAGGGCCCTGCTGCTTGCAACGTGAAACTGAGAAAACTGGTACTTACATCTTCCTAAGTAGCAACTGCTGAATCCAGCGCTGCTCTCAGGCAGATGAATGGTGTGAGTTACTGGCATTCGTGTCTATTTCCTTCTAGATCTTGCCTGTGTAGAGTAAGCTCCTTGGGCAGTACTTGTCTCACTAGGGAGCAACCCTGAAGTGCTAATCTGGCACTGGCCACAGAAGACTTTTACAGCTTTCCTCATTTCTACTGCAGTAAAACAAAAAGAAAAAAGAAAAAAAAGAAGGAAAAAAGAATAATAGCTTCAGCCTACAGCTTTCATAAGGAAGAAATGACACTCCGTGGCAACGCTTTCAAAGCTTTCTTTCTATAAGGGTCCAGCTATTCCCTGGGAGGAACAGACTGGCCCTGGTAGTAATTTAGCCAAAAATGATAGTCAAATACAGCTTTGCACTTGCTCATCTTCCAGGGCAGACAGAACTGCTTCTCTCTAACAGTTGCAGGTATTGTGAAGAGCAAAGGCTATACTGTGCAGTTGGTGCAAACTGGGCAGGCAAAAAGTAACTGGAGCTTTTATTCTCTCTGTAGGTGAAAAGGGAAAAGTTGATGTTCTTCCTGCTCTAATCTCCCTGGTCAAGATCGTAACAAAGCCAGTGGAGATGCTCTGTCCCTGGAAAGATTGGGACAGCAGTTGTTTTTCAACCAGTCTGGGGGCACCAGAAAGTATATTTCTGAAAGGCCACACAAAACAGGCCTCTACAGCCCCAGCTGTCTTGTGTCAAATGCAGGATTTACAGAATCTCTGTGGTGTTTCTCCATGCCAATTAGCAGAGCCCTTTAAAATGGCATGATCTATCCAAGCTGTGGTCTTTACAGAGAGAGAAAGAAAAAGGACTGCTGACAGACAAAGCAGAGAGGACACCACAACCACACAAGTTGCTCACATAATCAGAAGGATGCAGCAGAGTTGTCAAGCACATATCCTGACTGTCCTTGCTCCTGAACAGTAGACATGCTCAAGAAGCATTTATGTTAGTGGTTCACAGGTCATGGCTCAAAAGACCAACGTGCTGGATTACAAACGTTATTTGGCAAGCACCAGCAAAAAAATATACTCCCATCCAAGATGTGGTGGGTGATTCTGAATACCTGGCTTCATTTCTGAGCAAGATCAATTTCTTAGTCCAACCTACGACACCTGGCTATGTCATCATGAGTCTCAGCAGAGAGACAGAGGGTGCAGAACTCACCCAACTGCAGGACAGCTCAGATCAACCAAGACACTTGGAGTCAGGTTTACAACATCACCAATAATTTCAGAGCTTGAATATTCCTCTGTAAATTTTACCTATCCTTCCCATTCCTACATTAGGAAACCCACACGAGTCAGATGCGCTGTGAAAATCCCATACTGTCAGCATGACAGTTACATTCCAGAGAGGGGATTTATCATGCTAGAGTTTATAATCTAACCCTTCTCATCCCTGCACTTGTGCTTGGGACAGGAAGAAACACATAAGAATATAAATGAGATTGTACAGACTACTTTCCCCTAAATTAATTGCATTTATACATTTTAAGAAACCTTCATTTAAGAGGTATAACAAAAATAGTTCTACAACATAAACAAGTGCAAATACCATTGCTTAGTAAAGCTTGGAAAGGGCTCAGGCCTAACTAGAAGACCTGAAGTCCACAGCCATGCATTTTAAGGACATATTAGTGTCTTCACTACTGTTATTTAAATAATATTTAGAAAGCAAAGTTCAAGATTCTACATAAATGCACAATATAAAGTCAAAGTGCCTACTGGTCAAACTTCAAAGTGCCTGATGGTCAAAGTGGTACAAACCATATTCAACATGGAATGAAAGCAATCAAGGTCCTTTCCTTTCCTTCTCATTTCCATTAGGAGAAGTCACAGGTAACATCATTCCAATCTGAAGTGACATCAAAGCCAAATGCGTGTACAAGAGAGGAGAGCTGAGCCTGCATCTTGATGGAAAACTGATCCTCACTTCTTCTGTGTAAATGCCAGTTAATCCTCAGGCTTTGCTCTGGACATGCAAGAAAACAGCACAAGGGAACAGCAACTTCGATGCCACGTTCGGGAAGGCAGAGTTGGCAGCCCAACAGAACACAGCACTTGGAGCAGGGGGGAAGCGAGCCCTTGTTAGCTCCTCTGGAGTCACATTCCCCAGCTGATTTATTGACTCAAGCCACGAGAGATGAGTACAAGGAGGTAAACAGCACTGCTCTTCATTGGGAAAATAAGGAGATTATTCTCAGAAGTATATTTATTCCCTTCCCATTTGGCTGCTTTTAATATTTTGGACATTTTTATTTTTTTTAATTTTAACCATATCACTCCCTTGAACGGCAAACAGAGTTTAAAAGGTTTTGTCACCAGGAAGGGGTGGAGGTGGGACAGGGAGAACAACAGACCTTTTATTAAACCTTAGAAAAGATTTCTAACTCACATTGCAAGTGAAAACAACAAAAGCCATAAACTCTCAATGGAAAGCTGTCGGTGAGATTAAGCAGATCCAAACTCCGCCATCCATTTCTCGTACTTCTCCAGGTCTGCAGCAGAAACAGATTTGGAGATTTTCTTCAGAGCCAACTCAAAGTCCCCCTTGGTAACTGGCATCTGAAGTTCCTCTTTAGAAAGTGCCCGAATCTCTTCTGGAGTTAAGCCGTTAATACGCCGTCTCATTGCCATTAAAGAGGCATCCCTGGAAATATAGGACAATGCATGGGAGCTAATTGCTAGCAGCATGTGCCATAAGCCTATGAATTTTGATTGTATTCTCTTGCTAGAAACCACTGGCAGGAACACTTCAGAGAGCATTTATTTACCAGAGGAGATGCGGTTCACATCTTTGTTAGCATTCACATTCCCAGATCCCAACATCAATTCAATATAAAGAATGCACTGGCACCAAAACTCATTTAAGCATATGGCAAATGCACAGAGATAATTAAAACTATAAAACTGAAAGCCTTTTATAATGATTCATAGAGATGAGATTCGACTTCTCAGCTCAGGAAAGGGCAGGGAGGGAGAAGAACTGCACTGAAGGGTTTTTCTTTTTCTCTTCCAAAACTTCTCTGGATGTTGCAGATCTCTCCCCATGCCATTACGATTTCAACACCCTCCCCACACGCAGCACTCAGACACTGACACCACGTGGCCCTGGGGCTGAGGCCATCGGTGCCTGTGGCTCCCCATGCTCTACCTGTTCCACCACTCCTCCCCAGCTCTGGAGCCGTCAGCGTGGCCCATTGCCACAGAGAGCACTGCTCATTTCTCACACCACAGCCCACACGCAGTTTGAAATTACATTTTCTCCTTCCCCAGGTTTTTTCCCAGCGGGGGATAACACAGGCCTCAGGGAGAGCAGGTAGTTTAACTATTGCACCGTGTGATACATACCAAAGTTTTCAAAACCGTGGTGCTGCTTCACAATTTCAGCAAAGCAGCAAGCAAAAAATATTCCCAAGCCATGTTCTTAAAGGATCAGTTCCTCTTGGCAGGGATCCTATCTCTATAAGGGATGCAGAGCTCCTACTGATAAGTTTTTCAAATACCCATCCTCCTTCAGAAAAGCCTCATTTTTCAAAAATTGAAACATGTTGTGGGAATGTGATGGAAACAAATTCAATACTAATGCTATACATTAGCTGTAACAACCTCACATGCATAACATTCAGGGAGAACTTAACACACTGCTGCACTGGTGGCCGTCCAAACATAAAACGTGTCAAAGCCCTGAAGAAGCAGTCTAGGAGAAGTTCTTTTCTGTCACAGAACTACAAAATTCTAGCTGTTGATCTCATGGGATTTAGAAAAAAGAATCCAAACCTGTTTTGCACTATGTTAATAAACATTTGGTTAATGCAGACAAGGGTAACACGAGAGGAAATCTGCTCAGATAACTTTTACTTAAGATCTAAGCAAACTTGATGACATCTCATGCAAAACACCACGCTGTTTAGACTGCTCCAGTAACGCGTGGTTCCAGGAAATAGATTTGGGCCCCCAAAATATTCACAGTTAGCTTGCTTCAGCTGCTGTGGGTATTGCTTTTTTTTAATCACATAACGCAAATGATGACTTGACACGTGGTCTCATTTGCAAATTAAGGGGAAGGAGATACCTGCAGACATTAGTGATGTCAGCACCAGAATAGCCTTCAATTTTCTCAGCAATTTCTTCAAGGCTGATGTCAGGATCCAGCTCTACTTCCCGAAGATTAATCTTAAGTAGTTCTGCTCTGCCTTTTGCTACAATATAAAAACGTGTGTTTGAAATCTTGCAAACATTATAAACAAAACAAAACATGAACAATTTAGATTTTTCAGTGAAGAATATAAAGAAAAGGGTTTGATACAAGAAAAAGAATGGGACAACAAATCACAGTAAAGTGTGGAACCAAATACAGTAAAGGATAAGGTTTCAATCTGTATATTAAGATAGTGCATTCAAAAGGCATTTTCCAAAGTTGTACATCATTAGAAAAGCCCGTTATGTCTCAGGTGACAACGCATTTGGTGACACGTTACCCAAAGGCACTAAAGCACAATCCTACAAATATCTGCTTCTTCTCAAATCCCTTTGGATTCACTCTGCTCAAGTGTTTGATTGCGTATTATTCACACAGTTTAATTAGAAACACAATGAGGATTCTATTAAGAGAGCTTTAGACAACACAAAGCCCCTAACAATAGGCTGAACTTTAAGTATGTGTTTAAGCACTTTACCCAGTTGGGACCCAAGAAAGCTGCTGAAGCCTGATAGAAAACAGATATATTAGTACAGTAAACGTAATAATGTATGTATAATAGCAATGCCCTGGCATTCCACTTTCAGACCTAAGTGTAGCAAACATACAGTGATAACCAGCTGCGTAAATGAGTATCGATGCAGCCAATTAACCATTTGTCTTGTGGAGAGCACATCCATATGTGCATTTCAGCCCAAACGCTGAACACTCCAGGCTTGACAGCTTAGGCCTCAGTGTTACTCTGCTTAATGGTGGCAAAGTGGAGGATAAATGCTTTCCTGGCTTTTGCTGTACAGAATCACCAACCAGCTCAGTCCCTTACTTCCACAGACAGTAATTGTTATGACTCAGAACAGAGGACAACCTTGGCAGAGGGAACAGCACTAGGAAAAGCCAAAAGTCGAAAGGAAACATTGCACATGTTTTATTCACTGATGGCCCTCCTTTAAAGAAGCAGGGGGAAAAAAACCAGAAAGCTTGTCTAAGGCTGCTGGTTTGGAGTGCTCTGCAGAACTGTCAAGAATATAGACGGGTATCAATCACGCACCACTGGGACCAGCTATGAAGTAGGGATTTATTATTTACAGAGCACAGTGTACACACAGCATACCTGCAGAGAGCCTCCTGTATCAGAGAATATTCTTCTCATTTTTCTACTGGGATAAGTAAGCTCTTGCAGTATTTCAAAAAAAAAAGAAAAAAGGGTAGAACGTATGCGTGCACCAAATGCCCCAACACAAAGGTGTATATATGACATGCCATTCTGTTCATTAAATTGCCTGACCACAACAAATGGCACAGCACAGTTAATAAAAACATCACTGAGACTCGCACAGAACAGCTCAACTTCTTTTATATATGGAATAAATGCAAAGGAACATAAGACTGGAAATAAAACAGAAGCACATCTCGCATGTTGTCCAGGGTGTAATTTACTGTGTCAAAAAAACAATGTTGTTTAATTAGAAACAAGAGCAAGAGCTGATAGGATTTTAAACTAATTGGTCATAAAGACAGGCATCCTTTTAGGAGCCGTGAGCTGCGCAGACAAGCTGTACAGCTATTAAGTGTCCTTATACCTGCTAAACTCAATCACAATTGCTGTCAGCACGAACACGCATCTTGTTATCTTGAGTGCTCATGCAGGGAGATGAAACATCCACTGTACCAAGAAGAAACAAAGCTATGCAAACTTCAAGCGATAGGAATCTCAAAATTAATAGGACAGGTGAATGACAGCTAGGAAAGACAATACAAGCTGAGACAGCTCGGGGCAGGAAAGCAATCAGCCTGCTGCATTCTGAGCAACTCGCAGCCTAGTCATAACAGCGGGCAAGCAGTGATTTACAGTGAACTAAGCCTCTAAGTGAAAATTCATGGATCCACTTCCTTGCATTCGTCTGCAAGGGCAAGAGTGCGTTTGCAGTATTTCTTAATGTGTCCAAAGGCTGTCTTTGATGATCACTCAAGGATTGGCTGTTAAACATTTAAAATAATTCCAGGCTCATTAAAACTAACTCTTTCAGTGTAAGAACCCATCAATTGGTTTGCAATGAAGTGCAGCAGCTCTTTGTTTTTAACCCCCAAGCAAGTGGGTTTTTTGTTTTTTTTTTTTTCTCTCACTCTCTTAAGAATAAAGCAATCCAACCAAGTGATTAACTCCTGAATTTCACTGCTCATCACAAAAACAAAAACTCCTCCCAAATCCAACAGCCTTGGAGTAGTCCTACAGCAGCTTTGGGACATTGTAAAGTGAAACGCTTGTACCAAACATAGAATCACACAGAATCACAAGGTTGGAAACGACCTGCAAGATCATCTAGTCCAACCACCCTCCCATTCCTATTAGTACCACAAGCACTAAACCATATCTCATAGCTCCTCATCCAGGCGCCTCTTCAACACTGCCAGGGACAGCGACTCCACCACCTCCCTGGGCAGCCATTCCAATGCCTGACCACCCTTTGAGAGAAAAAGTTTCCCCTAATATCCAACCTAAACCTCCTCTGGTACAACTTCTGGCCGTTTCCTCGGGTTCTACTATTTGCCTGGGAGAAGAGGCCAGATCCTTTTGCACCACAACCTCCCTTCAGGAAGTTGTACAGTGCAATGAGGTCTCCCCTGAGCCTCCTCTTCTCCAGACTGAACAATCCCAGCTCCCTCAGCCACTCCTCATAAGACTTGTGCTCCAGACCCCTCACCAGTTTCGTTGCCCTTCTCTGGATACGTTCCAGGGCCTCAGTGTCTTTCTTGTAGTGAGGGGCCCAAAACTGAACACAGTACTCAAGGTGCGGCCTCACCAGTGCTGAGTACCCACATACCTGTGGGCAAAGGTATATAAATCCTTTTTTCCAGTCTCCGTCGGAGAGCTTCATCAATATCCCAAGGAAAGTTTGTAGCAGCTAATACCATAACCATCTTGGAAGGGTCATCATTCTCCAAAGCACCACCTACCCCTGTAAGCACAACAATTTAAAGAAATTTCACTCTGCTGCTATTACTGATCAAGATGCTTGCTAAGAAATTGTGCAAATGTTACAAAAGCTTAGACAAAGCTCAGCAGCTGTTCCATGCACTCCTAGTGCCGCCTTCTACCTTCACATGGCTGATGTAGCAGGACCATCACTGCCATATAAAGAGGAACAGTTCATTCTTCTGTGAGACAAGGAAGGGCTTTCTTTGACTGTGCTACCAGCACAGTCATGTGCAAGTGCAGCACTGTTAGTAACAGCAAAAATACCATCTGTCAAACATGGCCATAGAAGAAGCAAAAATCACTCCCTGACCTTCCAAACAATGACTGTAAAGAAATGTTCACATGGAGAGAATAAGTTGCCTACATGGGGTTTACCACAACGAACATTTGAGGACATTATAAACAAAGAGTGGTTCAATAGCAACTGTTATATACAGGTGGTTATCAAAGCACTACACCACAGAACATTCCTTGGGTGGTGGTCCTCACTGCGTGCACGTGTGCAGAACAGGTACAGAATATACCTAAGAGGTAATATTAGCTGTCACCACAGCTAACAGCAAAACCAGAGCTGATGATGAGGTCCCTGAGCAGGAGGCTCTATGAAAGAGAAGAAATTTATTTAAATTGCTTAAAAAAAAACAAGAAAGACCTGTATAAACTTCACAAATCTCCATTACCTGCTTCTCCTATAGTCAAACATCCCTTCAAAATGAGTTCTCAATTTTCTAAAACGGTCATTTTAGAAAAAATAAAGCGGAGCACCTTTTCCAGTTATCTGCCTTCAAATTCTCAGAGAACGCATCCCTCTCAAATTTTGCCTTACTTCTCCCCCATCCATAAAACCAGGCTTTCCAGACTGCTCAAGTTTTTTACATTCCCATCTCTAAGAAAACAGCATCCCAGCCCCAAGCACGGATCTAAATCAGCAATCTTTACCGTCCATTTGCACAAGCAGCTCTGACTTGACTCTGCGACTCGCCTCATGCTCATCAGATGTGCCTCTGCGGCTGCAGATTGAATCAATTTCATCAATGAAGATTGTTGTTGGAGCGTAAAACCTTGCCTTTATTCAAATGAAAACATCATCATTAAGACTGCAGCAGCAAGCACAAGTCCTCATCAGACCATGACCCAGTTTGGCTACTACATATATTACCTTCCCTGCTTGTCACAAGAAAGTAATTCAAGACCTTGATTCACAATCTGTATGGCACATGCTTAAGTTTATGTATTTTAAATCGTACACCTCAAGTCAGAGGTCTCGCAAAGAGGAAAAGAAACACAATCACAAAAAGGCAGTTTTTAATATCGAGGTTTTGTGCTGGTGAGGGCAAGGCAAAGGGGATAGAATGGCAACTGAGAGTATGCCAGAAGTAAATCCTGAAGGCAGGAACAACCCTTTCAGTATAGGCCCACACAGGTATGTCCTTCACACAGCCCACATGATGGACTACACTCAAAAACACTGAGAAGCTTGTCTATCACTCAGAACAGAAACAGAACTAGACTACATATTGCTCCTAGAATAATAGTTCTCAGTTCTTTCCAATTTCAAATAACTTTGTGCAATTTCTGTCAAGATCACCACTCTGCTTTTAGCCAGGAAAGCACCATCCTCAACATGAGTGATGAGCCATTTCCCTCCTAATCCTCAGTGACATTTCAGAAAATGATGAATACACACGTCGTCTTTTCTCTGTCTGGATGAGAGAAGCTTAGTGCAGTAAACTCAATACTTTCAGTGTGCTACTGGAGGGGCAGGGAACAGAGGGGGAGGCCCCTTCACACCTCACTGATCCCCAGAGCACATCATTGAGGACGTACCATTTCAAACAAGAGGCGGACAAGCTTTTCAGATTCGCCTCTGTATTTAGATGTCAGTGTAGAGGAAGACACATTGAAGAATGTTGTTCCACATTCTGTAGCAACAGCTTTTGCTAGCATTGTTTTGCCAGTACCAGGAGGACCAACCATCAGCACGCCCTGAAAGATGAAAACAAAGGTGATGAACAACAAGTAAATTTTGTGCACAGTCCTTTATAATACATCTCAAAATAAAACAAAACCAGTAAAACCAGTATTTTGATTGCTTAGTATCATCATCATCATCAGTGGAAAACAAAAGAATGTTGCATTACGAGAACAGCATGGAAGCATTCTGTGACTTATTCTCCTTACTGCCCCACTGAAGTCGAAATTACAAAAGGCAATTGCTGCAGCTATCACCTGGGAAGCAGGTGACAGATTTAAAGACTTGCTCTGAATCAGGCATGGCCTGGACTTGAACTTGGCTCTTTCCCAACTTACAAGTGGCTGTACAGACGGATGAAGAGAATGAATTAATCTTTTTGGAAGACTCCTTCATGAAGAAAGCTCCACCGAAACCAAAATGCTTTTTGTGTTCATGAGTAGAGCATTTTCCTACAGAAAAACATTTTGTCAAAAAATCCTAACCATGTACAGTTATGAATCTGGCTTATTTTTACAATTCAGTCTGCATGAGAACATTCACTGGACACAAGGGTTTGTCCTATTGCTTAATCTCTCCATCTTAGTATTTCTGTGGCCAAAGTACTACTTCTTACCACCTCCTGGATGAAAAGCCATTCTCACCACACTGCTGGACAATTTTCGGCTTATGTGGACTGCTGCTCAACTCCATTTAATATGAACTTCAATGATTATTTTAAAAAATGTCACCTGGACAACTGAGCTACAATCAAGTCCCAGCCTGGCAAACACATCATTAGATTGCCTTTCTATCTGTGCTCTGTCTGTAAGAGAGTAAGAAATACACACTTCTCCAGCTCAGGGCATTCATTGGAGAATCCTGTGTTGAAACAACAGAAGGAAGGGGTGCCATTCAAAGGACCTGGACACACTCGAGAAGTGGCCCTATGTGAACATCACGCAGATCAACAAGATCAAGTGAAGGTGCTGCATCTGGGTCAGGGCAATCTCAGGTATGTGTACAGATTGGGCAAGGAGTGGATCGAGAACAGTCCTGAGGAGAAGAACTTGGGGGTCCTGGTTAACAAAAAGCTGAATACGCGCTTGCAGCCCAGAAAGCTAACTTCATCCTGGGCCGAATTAAAAGAGAGGTGGCCAGCAGATTGAGGGAGGTGACTGTTCCCCTCTACACCACCCTCATGAAGCTCTACCTGCAACACTGTGTTCAGCTCTTGAGTCTGCAGCACAAGGAGGACATGGGCTTGCTGCATTAAGTCCAGAAGTGACCACAAAGATAATCAGAGAGCTGAAGCACCTCTCCCATACAAAAAGGCTGAGGGAGCTGGGCTTGTTCAGTCTGGAGAAGAGAAGGCTCTGGGAACATTTTATAGTGGCCTTCCAGGACCAGACGGGGGCCTACAGGAAAGCAGGGGAGAGACTCTTTATCAGGGAGCATAGTGATAGGGCAAGAGATAATGGTTTTAAACTGAAAGAGGGGAGATTTAGATTAAATATTAGGAGGAAGTTCTTTGTTCAAAGGGTGGTGAGGCATTGGAACAGACTGCTCAGAGAAACTGTGAATGACTGTGTTCACTACCAGGCTGGATGGGGCTTTGGGCAAACTTGTCTATTGGGAGGTGCCTCTGCTCACAGCAGAGGGTTGGAATTGGATGAGCTTTAAGGTCCCTTCTAAGTCAAACCATTCAGTGATTCCACAATTTACTTACTCATCACTACGCAAGCAGGCTTTTAGCTACATGCACAGTGCACTCAGGACCCACATTAAGACCATTAAGACTGAAGCACCAAGAATGGTTAATCAAAGACAGCCATGACTCAAAGACAGTATTTTTTAAGTGGGATACAACAGAAACAACACAGGCTTCTGAAAATAAATGATTCCTTCCATCACGAAGTTACTGCTGACTCCAAGGAGGGCTAGTTCACAATCATTTTTAAATACTTATGTTTATGAATAGTCTGACCATTTCAGCAACACACTGTACCACCCCCTCAGCATTAGGACAGGGCACTATGATTCTGAGCATGGCACTATGAAAAATGTAGCCTTTTTTCCCCAACTACAAAATCTTACCACATGCTAACAAGAGTTTTCTAAAATGAAGTTGTACTGGGTTGCAAGGGTAATCAAATTAGAATTAGAATTGCATATCATAATGTGCTTTGCAATTAATATCTTACATAAAATACCATAGCAGTAAAATATCTGTTAAATGCAAGCCACATAGCAAATTAGATTTCATCTGTTCCTCACAAAAATTTACTTCAAAAAGCACACAGAATGACATGAAAGAGATCTATAAAAACAAATCAACCGGGAATGCAATTATTCAAAAATGTACTATTCAGAAGCAATAGCCTCTCTGTACTCCATTTCCCATTAACTCTTAATACCTTTATTGCCATTTAACACTTAGCTAATGCAAGCTCAATGTACATTCATTGGTAAATTAAGTTAGAAATGTTCATACTGCTAACAGTCTAACAGCTAACAGTCCAATGTCATTCCTCAGGCTGCTCAAGGTTTCCTAAACTCCAGGGCAACAAGCATGACAAGCAAACTGACTCTTTTTTTCTCCCCATGAACATTCAGACATGCACTATGATTTGAGTTGCTGCACAGTCATACCAATAATATTATAATAATGCAAGTGTGAGCCTAGAGTGACTGGGTGAAAATTACTTGGGCTGTGATAGGTAGGGCAGAGATGACTTACTGTTCTCTCTAAGTTTCAAATGTGCTTATTTTTATATTTTAAAATATCATCTATATCAAATCACACTTAACCCTTGCTCCTGACAAACTGTCAGAGCTGGTGACACAAAGGCTAATGGTAGTTTTTTGGATGCCACCTTGGTCTCCCATTATTCCGGAAGATCAAATTCCAGCTTCAGTCACACATCTTGCTCACTGCTTCATTCAAAAGCCCATCGCTTTGCACCTTCTGCATAGCTATGATAGTGAGCATTACTTAGCACAGGATACTGGGGGCATTATATATGGACCTAACAAAGGTGGCATGCAGTCACACCAGATGCAAAGTCAGGGGAACACCAAGCTCTCTGGGGATAAAGAGAAAAGAAATGTCAGTTTAAAAAAAAAAAAAAAAAAAGTAACAAACAAAAAAAGAAGAAGAAGAAAAAAAGCCACACCTTGAATTCTCAGCAAAATGAGATGAGCATGGCTGCAAAGAGAAACACAGAATCAAGACGCTCTTTCTCTCTGCAACTACGAGGCTGCCACTTACTCACTAGTTAAAATCCTTGACAAACACAAAGACTTCTTTATTCCTCCTCTAAGGCTCTGTTAATCCAAAGTATTCCAGTAAGAAGCTGAAACACACTGCAGGGAGTAAGTGTTTTGATGAAATCACTGCAGGGTTACTTCTTGCTGCTGTAACAATCACTAGAAGAGCAGTGGGAAGCACAGCAAGCAGCCAGGCCTTCTTGGCACAAAGCAGTTCAGAGAAAAAGAAAGAGCAAGCCTGTGGACATTCACAGACCCAGCTGCAACCACACAGCACCTGCGTTGAATTGGGAAGGCAGCCGGCTCCTTCATACCAGGCACTGTCCTCTGAATGCAGGGGCAAACAGCAAGGACTGTCTTGGGAATTACTCTCAGGAGAGTCTGAACATCCAAAAACAGATCTGGCTGCCTTTTCCCTGAGTTATTGTCCTGAACGCCTAGGCTCAACAAATGCCTGCTGCTACACTGATTACTGCGAGAAACAGCCTTCTCTTCAAAACTTCTCATCCCTGTAGCACAGTCAGAGGTCAACGGTAAGGAAAATGCATGCTGTTCTGCATGAGAAATAAATTCGGGAGAGTTACAGCTTCACGAGTCACCAGGGAGAAGGCTAACAATGAAGACCCTTCATGGACTTGTCAGAAATCAATTTGCATTTCAGACTGAAGGAAGGAAATAATCGTATCGTTTTTTCCACGTCTGCAACCACCTAGTTTCCAGAAGCAATACTGGCCAGCAGGAAAAGATAATCTCATGCAAAGAGAAAGAGACTCTAACTCTGACAACCAGGCTGCTATTTCGCTACCTGTTGCCACAGTATTTGGAGACAGGATCAGCAGCACTCTTCATGCTGCCTGCAGCCTGCTGAGATACCTGTCTTAGAGACAGATGGCCACTACATCCTCTAGCCGTGTTAAGAGGTGAAAAAGCAGCATAGCAGCTCTTTACTCCCTTCAAAGTTTTGGAGACTGGACAGATGGGGTTACTGTAGTCTATAATGAGGGTATGGATCAAATTCCTCTACACCGAGAGGAAAGAAAAGAGATTCAGTTGTTTAACAGATACTAAAATCTCACCCTGCATTTGTGACCTGTGATATCTAGGCTTTGTCCAAGCTGATACCTTGGTTAACCTGAAGGTCAACCTCAAGCCTGGTGCTTAAGCACAACCACGCTAAACACCAACAGCCATAAAGCTCCAGCCCACAAGTTCTGCTGAGTCCAGGTTTGGACTACCTCCTTGCAACTCACTAAAGCCTCTGTGAACATCTCTCACGCAGCAATCCCAAGGTTCTGCTATTGACTCCCACCCTTTCACCTTCCTCTCTTTACTGTCTGTAGACACAAGCCCCCAAAATGACAAGTTTTCTACTCAAATGCTGCATGACTTTGTTTTGTAAACAGACAGCACAATGAGGATTCAAGAGCAGCTGAGGCTGAAGAAGGACAGCTTCGAAGGCCAGTCCTAAGTGTAAATCAGAGAAGTCTTAAGGGCCAAACAGGAAAAGACAGGGCAAGCACTAGTATCACAAGGTCTGATGTATGTTGAACTGCTGCACTAATCTACAGAAACCACCCATGTACATCGCATTCTCTACACGTCATGTCTTTGGAGACTCAGAATGACAGACAGCTTGCAGCAGTCTCTTGTCCCAGTTTATCACTGAATGTTTCCCCATAACCAGATGGCCACTATGCTGTGACCAGTCATTATTAAAACAAGCGTCAATCCATCCCACAACTAAAGCAAGATAATTTTATTCTCTGTGTACAGCAACATCTTCCCTCTGATTCCTTTTCAGCTCTGAGCAAGGCCCAGGCCATGGTTGTCACCAGTCCATCACCCAGCCCAGCTCAGCCCCATGTTACAACAGCTTACAGCAGCTCACGCTCCCACTCTGAATTCCCACCACTCCACAAGTAACTCAGGCTAGCTGCAAGCACAGCTATAAAGCTAAATCATTAGACCAGCCTTTTCTCTCTCCTGGATTCCTTGCATCATGCAGCCTGCAAAGTGCAGTCAGCATAAGAGAGAGCTAGCACATACAGAAATAAAACCAGTCCAACAATTGCTTTCCTTGGTTGAGAAGCAACCACTGTAACAAATCAAGCTTTCCATGAGGCATTTCTGCTTCTCTCAACATGCACTACATGTCTGCTCCCATGCACAGGCTGATCTATTCACACTGGGAAGCAATGTCTGAGTAAACACAAAAGAATTATATAGTGTGAAACCTGCATACACTTCCAGCTGATTATTTCAGTGCTTTTTACATGAATCATTATGAGAGGTTTTCATGAACAAATTCTTGAACTTTCCTGTTTGGCATTTGAAGTATCCACTGCAGGCATCCGCACACCCTACAGCAGCAGGCATACATAACTACAGCTTGCCATTTACTAAAGCACCAAATAAATCCCTACCTTCCAAGGTCTTCTGATCCCTTTGAAAAAATCAGGCATCCACATTGGAAGAACAACAGCTTCTCTTAATAATTTTTTGGCTTCTTCCAAATCTGCTATGTCATCCCTGTACAAAAGAAAGAAACTTTTATGAGATTCCTGTATGACAATATTACTCTTGCTTTTACAGAAGAACAAATAAGTTTTTCCCTCAGTACCATCTCTTTTAGCATGTATTTGCCTCATGAGAGTACCCCTACAATCCTGTGACCTAAAACTAAATCCATTTGTGAAAGGTAGGGAAAAAATGAATTTCAGCTCAAGTTACTCTCAGTTGCTTAATTAAAAATTGATTTGGACAGTGTGAACACCAAAGAGATATCTTCAGAGTTCTCTAGAGTGCACTTCTATTATGGCAGTACTTGCAATGGATGTACTGCAAAAAATACCAGTTAGCACAAAAGCCTAACTGTAATAAAATTAATAAACTGTTAAAGCCAAAAGACCTTGCATTGCTCATTTGCAGAAAACTGTGATGTCTCCCTATCTTAAAATTTAGGAGAATAAATTCCTCCCCTTCTCCACACTAGCAAAAACACTTCAATAGAGACAATCCTCATACCAATGAATGCTTGGATTCCTCGACACAATGTCCCTTTCAAGAGCTTCGACCAAGTCTTTGTCATAACCCACTCCTCCATCAAATCTTGGAACATCATCAGCAACACCTTCCTGGGGTGTTTTCTTTCCCTAAAAGTGAAAGTCACAGATGTACATAAGAACATTTTTCTTTGCACATATTCTTTACTAGTAACATATAACAATATTGTCTGCTTTGCTTCTCCTCAAGCCGCAAAGTACAAAGCTTTAACACAGCCACCACAGCACCACGATGGCCAGCAAATATTTTCATACCCTGCACTCCAAGAAGCATCCCCAAACACCTGTGGTTGCTTCCACCACAACTGCACAATGCTTTCTTCGTGGATGCTGCTCAAAATGATAAAAGCCCACCAGACTTCACAAAACGTCACAGCAGGTGGGCTGGTTAGTTGCTTTTTTTCTTTTATTTATTAGCAAACCAGATTCTCTTAACAAAGCTAAACCACTCTTTAGGTAACTGACACCAAACACAGGAATGCAGAAGCAGGCTAACAATGCAGCTAGCGTTGGGGCTTCAGCTGCAGCACACAAAAATCATGAAAGATCCTGGCTTAGAAGGGACTCATCAGGATCACTGAGTCCAGCTCCAGCTGAAGACCAGACCACCCAAAGTCAGTTTTGAAGATGCTCCATCTGCCACGTTACCTGCCAGAGCTAAACCACTGGCACACTGTCATGACAAAGCTGAGACACATGCAATCTTCAAAGGAGGAGAACCAAGAAGAATTTTTCCCACTGTTTAATTAAGGCCTTCTTGCCCAGCATTTCTCCTTTCCTCAGCTGCAACCTATCCACTTCCCTTCTCTCATTGAAGCCAGCTCCATTAAGACTTAAATGCTTTTAAAAGGTCATGTTTATTTAAGGACTGCACTGAGAGCCCTAAGGAAGCTCCCAAGTCACCCGGACCTCTTTGAACTCCAGCAGTTTCTGCACCATGCTGAGATCCATTCAACAGCCAAGCTCAGCCCTGCCACTGCCCCCAACAACCACAGGTCTCTGGTTAATGCCTCCACAATGCCATTGAGCTTGTGGGGCAAAGCACCCTTTGATGCATTAGAGCCCCACTCCTCCTCTTGGGCTTCAGACAGAAACCGCTTCCCCTCCCGGCTAAATGGCAGTGCTCAGCCATGCTGGGAAAGCAGCTGTAAGGCAGGGGGCTGAGCAGGGAGCTGCTTTCGAGCTCCTCACTCAGCCTCAGCAGCGAGCTAAAGGATCTCAGCTGGCTGCACAAAGGCAGCCTTGCAGAGAGGCTGAAAGGCAGATGGAGACACAACAAACTTAGCACTGCAAAAAGGCAGCGGCTGCAGCATGCCCACCACTTGCCCGTGAGGGAGCCATTTGTCTTCTCTCTGGTTTTATTTCTCACTTACAAGTGGAGTCAGTGTTGTTTGGTGCTCCCAGATCAGGGCTTTTGCAATGGAAATTAAGCTGAGAATTGTGTTCAGAACAAAAAGCTGATGTAAAAAAATGTAATGGCGTGGTGTAAAAAAAGGAAACAGAGAGAGAAAGCCCTGTAGAGTTTGGAAGGTTTTAGAAGACAGAAAATGGAATCCAAATGTAACTGTAAAAAAGAAGAAAAAAGAAAACACAATAAAATGAAAGGTATTTGTTACACATTTCTCTCATATTCCTCTGCAGTGCACTGATTTTCATAGCGGAAGACTTTTCTTGAGCCTCTCAAAACCTGTCATCTGTTTGGCGTTTGCAGGGTCTAGCAAAGCAAGGCAGGCTGCAAAGCGCAAGGGGAGGGAGGTCGCTCAGCTTCGGCATGGGGGGAGGAGGCTGAAGCAGCAGCTCAAAGCCACGGCCAAGGCAGGGTCACTGCCTGCAGAATGTTTGCTGTGTGGGACAAACTGAACAGAACAGCACATGTGTGAAGTGGTGCAGGCAGTGGTGAGCCTTCCATGTGGCAGCTGAAAGAAGGGAAAGGAAAAGAAAGGAGGAAAGAAAACGAAATTGAAAAGAAATGGAAAAAGAAAAGGAGAAAAAAGAGTAAAGGAGAAAAAGAGGGGAATAAAGGGAGAAAAGGGGAGGTAAGGATAAGAAGGTAGGAAAATAGGAGAAAAAAGAATGAAAAAAAAGGAGAAAAGGTAGGAAAAAAAAGGATAAAGGGGGGGGGGAAAAAAGGAAAAAAAAAGGGAAAAAAAGGAAAAAAAAAAAAAAAAAAAGTAAAGCAGAAAAAGGCAAAATAAAGGAAAAAAGGAAGGATCCTATGCCCAGCCACCAGCTCACAGCAGTGCCACCATAAAGCCTGAGCCCAGCTCCAAAGAAAAGCTGGATGGTCATCTTTCCTGCTTCCTGTGCCTATCTCACCAGCAGTGTGAGAAAAGGGAGGCATGCTCTCAGCACTGTGCTGATCGTCATTTTGATGAAATTCAGTGTTTCAGGTTTTTCAGTTCTGGAATTGAACCAAAATTTAAAACATTTACAGTCTTCACGTGCAATAAAATTATTAATGTCAGTCCTAAATTAGTCCAATGTGCAATCTGCAGTCAGTAGGTGAGTAGAGACCAGAAAGAAAGAAAAATCTGTCACCTGGATGCAGGCAGGATTGAGTTACATGTTCTTGGAGTCATAAAATATAATGTTTCCAATCAGATCCTCATCTCATTCCTAAAACAGATTTAGCTAAAGCTGCTGTGATGACTTCTCAGTAAGGGGGTGTGTGGATGTGTGTAGGCAGAGGTGCACAAGTATTCAAGAGATTGATCCCACCCACTCCCCTTGGCCATCATATCACCAAGCTTCCTCCTCTGCCAAGTTCTGACTTAAACACACGTAGAAATGCATCATGAAGGAGTGTCAGACTGACCTACTGGAATATAAATTCTCCCTTCCAAAATGAACCTATTTCTATTCTTGTACTAGGTTTGTGCATTGGTTTCATAGTCTTCTCTTCCGTGCGTCCACCACCCTGATGGGCAGAAAACATGCCTTGTGCACTGCCTCATTTTCCATATCAACCAGCATCCTCTGGGAACACAGCTGAATACAGTTCCCTGTTCACTTTGGCAGCCCTTCTGCTCTCCTCTCTTCTCGTATGAGCACATTTTCCTGGAGCTTGGCTGTTGAATGCACACAAAATGCTCCAGCCACTGCTACCACGAGCACCCCTAATGGCACTGGTAGCTTTCACTTGGACTAGTACCACCACAGGCCCCTCGCTACAAGAATGACATCGAAGTCCTGGAGTGTGTCCAGAGAAGTGCAAGGAAGCTGTGAGGGGTCTGGAGCACAAGTCTGATGGGGAGCGGCTGACGGAGCTGGGATTGTTCAGTATGGAGAAGAGAAGGCTCAGGGGAGACCCTATGGCTCTGTACAACTGCCAAGGGAGGGTGTGGTGAGATGGGAGTTGGCCTCTGCTCCCATGTAACAGCAGTAGGACAGGAGGGAATGGCCTCAAGTTGCGCCAGGGGAGATTCAGGTTGGATGTTAGGAAATACTACTGCTCCAAGAGAGTGGTCAAGTGCTGAACAGGCTGCGAGGAGCTGGTGGAGTCACCATCCTTGGAGATGTTCAAGAAACATTTAGATGTGGTACCGATGGGAAATAGTGAGAAATATTGGTGACAGGTGGACTAGATGGTCTTAGAGGTCTTTTCCAACCTTGGTGTTTGTATGATTCTATGATCATATCTGCTGATACATTAAAGCTTTTGCACAACTGCTGAGCTCCCATCTTCTAGCAGAAAATATCACTGCCATCTCATTGAACATCATCCCATTTCCCATGGCTCCAGCACAGTCATCCAACCCTTCCTCGAGAACACCTTCATCATTCTCTGTTGGTTCTTCCCAACTCAGTGTTATCAGCAAGTTTAATCAGCGCTTGTCTCTTTTTTGTGGCCCAGTCATTAATTTAAGTCTAAATCAAGAGTAAGTTTCTGGCCTTGAAGAAATCCATAAATAACTTGTCAGTTGACTGATACTTTCAGTACCACTTGTCTAAATTCCTCTTGCTGCTTAATTCCTCCACTACTCTTCTTCTACACCTCTTCTAGATCTTATAAGTGTCTCTAGATTAACTAATTACTTCCAATGTGACATCCAGGTAGATTAACTTCTTTCTCTAAGTGTTAGTGCTAGTGAAGGCAACACCTGTGCTTAAGAAACGGTGTATAGAGCTCTATTCCACTATCCCTCTACTGTGGTTATTCCCAAGTCTTCTACTTTTCCTCTGCTCTATATTTGTTTTAAAACTTTGCACGCTTTTTAGATAAAATTAAAAACTGCAGTTGCCTGGATCACTTTACCTTTTCACCTCTAAATACAGACATGGCCAACACAATTTGCCATTTCAGTGAGAAAATATCAGAGCCAGTAACTTTTACTGGAAATCTCTGCTCCAGTGCTGCCATCTCACCCCAGTTCTTGCACAGTACTGGGATGGAGATTATGCAGCCTTCCAGCCATAACGCATGTATTATGGATGCCTGTACTTCCACCTAAAAGCAACTATTTCATCTCACATTCATTTTCCTATAACCTGCCTTGCCTTTGCTTCTGATATTGCCTATCAGCATCATCAAGAAAAAAAATATTTAACAATCATATCTTGATCAATTTTAATATTCCCTTCACAGATATGGCAGCACAGCCCTTTTCTATTTCATATCCTTCATAATATCAACCATCCTCATCCACCGAGGTTCAAAAATTATCTAAAGACTAATTCTAAAAAATGTTCAATATAGCATCATGAGATTTCTCAAAGACATACCAGGTAACAGCCATGCTGCCTCTTTAAATTGAGTTACTGAAGAGAAGCTAAAACTCCTGGAAATTATGCAGCAGAAAGTACCTTGAGAAGCAATCAAACAATTTCCCATGGAACTCAGAAGAAAAAGCACTTGAAAGTAGTATTTTTGAAAAAGAAATGTGTAAATATAAGGGTTTAGTGGATAAAAACCATTAAGATGGGCTTCAGCTCAAAATTACTTTATGGAGCATTACAAAATAGCATTTTACAGGCAGAGTCGGGTTAAAAATCCTTATCCCAGGGTGATTACAGTCAGAACGAAAAGATGATATGCTGGGAAGGAGGAACAGTGATAGAAAGCTTCATACACACAGCAAAGCAAAATACTCCTAAATATAGCCCCACTGTTTATGTTTTACATTGAAAAATATTACAAGTAAATATGCATATTACACGGTAATGTTACAGCCAGGAAAGAGTACAACCTATTACACTGCAGCCCACATCTCAGGAAATGGGTCTGTCACCTAAGTTCATTGTATGTTCTTAGTAGCCCTACCCAAGCCTGAAAACTAAAGAGCTTAATTACTGTGAGAAAAATATCTGATGACTTAGTTTGAAGCTTCCGTTTTGCTCCATTGTTTTTAACCAACCATGAACAGTTACAGAACATCTTTAATTTGACATACAGAGCTTTACTCCAGAAACTTAAAATTATCAACACACGCAAAATAAGAAAGGATAAAACTGAAAGGGAAGTTAAACCTATTTTCTACGCCTCTGCAGAAAATACAGAAAGTTGCATTAACTTCTTTCACTTCCCACACCTGGTTATTTCCTCCTTCAAGATAGTTCAAAACTATCTTCATAGGAAAATCATGGGTTCTTTACAAAAATCATTGAAAATCGCACGACAAGTTGTAACCTGATGTGATTTTTGCATATATGCCCCACAGAAAGGAGTTAATATAACTACCAACTAGTTAGAAAACACAAAAAGAAGAGCACACGTTTCTTGAAGAGCAGGCATTGGTAGCTATTTTCCTTCTGCCACCTAGTGACCAATTTATTCAGATGAGGGTAGTGTTTAAAATTCACCGTATTAAAAGGAAGACCTTCATGACTATCTGACAGCAGGTGCTGTAACTAATCGTGTTATTCCCCGACACTGCTGTACAAGTCATGCTGTTGTGAGCTCCTCACAGTAAAGCCCAGTAATCACAGAATCACAGAGTCACAGAATCATAGGGGTTGGAAGGGACCTCCAGAGATCATCGAGTCCAACCCCCCTGCCAAAGCAGGTTCCCTACAGCAGGTTGCACAGGTAGGCATCCAGGCAGGTCTTGAACATCTCCAGAGAAGGAGACTCCACCACCTCCCTGGGCAGCCTGTTCCAGTGCTCCGTCACCTCACTGTAAAGAAGTTCTTGCGCATGTTTGTGCAGAACTTCCTGTGCTGCAGTTTCCAGCCGTTTCCCCTTGTCCTGTCTCCACTCACCACTGAAAACAGTCTGGCCTCGCCATTCTGCCCCCCACACCTTAGATATTTATAGACCTGGATCAGGTCCCCTCTCAGTCTCCTTTTCTCAAGGCTGAACAGACCCAGATCACTCAGCCTTTCCTCATAGGAGAGATGCTCCAGGCCCTTCACCATCTTCGTGGCCCTCCGCTGGACTCTTTCCAAGAGATCCTTGTCTTTTTTGTACTGGGGAGCCCAGAACTGGATGCAGTACTCCAGATGAGGTCTTACCAGGGCAGAGTAGAGGGGGAGGATCACCTCCTTCGACCTGCTGGACACGCTCTTTTTAATGCACCCCAGTAAGCCATTGGCCTTTTTGGCCACAAGGGCACACTGCTGGCTCATGGCCAACCTGTCATCCACCAGGACACCCAGGTCCCTTTCTGCAGAGCTCCCCTCCAGCAGCTCATCCCCCAACCTGTACTGGTGCATGCAATTATTCCTCCCCAGATGCAAGACTCTACACTTGCTTTTGTTAAACCTCATCCGGTTTTTTTCTGCCCAGCTCTCCAGCCCATCCAGGTCTTGCTGAATGGCAACACAGCCTTCAGGCGTGTCAGCCAATCCTCCCAACTTCGTATCATCAGCAAACTTGCTGAGGGTGGCCATTATCCCCTCATCAAGGTCATTGATGAAGATGTTGAACAAGACCGGACCCAGCACAGACCCCTGAGGAGCACCGCTGGTTACAGGCCTCCAACCGGACTCTGCACCACCACCAACGACCCTCTGTGCTCTGCCAGTCAGCCAGTTCTCAACCCACCTCACTGTCCACTCATCTATCCCACATTTCCTCAGCTTTGTTATAAGGATGTCGTGGGGGACAGTATCAAATGCCTTGCTGAAATCAAGGCAGACTACATCCACTGCTCTACCCCCATCCACCCAGCCAGAGACAACATCATAGAAGGCTACCAGGTTGGTCAAGCACACCTCCCCCTTGTGAACCCGTGCTGACTACTCCTGATAACCTCCTCTTCTTCCAGTTGTCTGGAGATGACATCCAATACAAGGTTGCAGGTGACAGACTGTTTATTTTAGATTTCTAAAATGACTAAACTTCATCTGTGCATCTGTGCATCAGTGGCACTGCTAAAGATATGCCTGGCCTTATGTGCTACTAATAATAAGGGTTAGTATATCCTAACACTTTTCTTTTGTATCAAAAGAGCTGTTTATAGTGGAAAGGGTGCATCTTCTGAGTTCTTTCTGCACTGTGTAGATGCAGCTTGGAACAGAAAAGCCATGAGGGTGCTGACCAAAGTCATCTGGAAAAAAACTGAACTAAATATTCTCTTCTTTGTTTACTAAGATCCTTACAAAACTGCATGCTGCACAGAACGGGATGCTTGCGTCTTTGTCAGGACAAAGCCCTCTCAGCACACTGTGGACTTGTATCATTCATACCACAGATTCTTTGGGTTCCCAGCACTGACTCCGCAATTACATTTAAAATGCAAGCGTCTCAAACAGTGATTTGCACACACAGGCAGTTTTTTTCAGGCACACAGCCCTTCCTTGACAGTGAATCACTGCCTCTTTCACTTCAGCACTGATTCTTTGGCATGGATCTTCAAAAGAAAGAATCCATAACTTACTCCAATTCATTTCATTATTGTTTTTTATTCTTCTTATTTTATTCTTCAAAACAAAAAACCCTTTCCCAGGAGTATCTTCCTAAACATAATAATAAAAACAAAAGCGTTTTCATAAATGAAAGAAAATTAAAATTGCTATGTCTCCCTCACGTCACATTCAAATCTATAATTTCAAGTAACTTGGCACACCTGCATAACACAGCACTTACAGAACTCTCCTAGACCTCCATGCACATCTTACTGTGGCAGGACAGTAGCAACAGCACAGTGGAATCCTATTTGTAAAGTTTAGAGAAGGGCACTGGTCTCACTTTTGCACTTTACAAACCTGACTTGAATTTCTTTAAAGAAAAAAGAAGGGTTGGGGGGGAGGGCAGGAGGCAGAAGGGACCTTTACACAGCCACATCAGAGTTTTTCATTATTTGATAACAAGCTAAGAATGGTTCCAGGCTCGGCCGCGCTCCTCACCTTGTCATCCCTCCCTCTGGCCCTCGGCTCCCTGTCACGGCTGCCTGCAGATTTGTCGCTCCTCGCTGCTGGCTGCGCTCTGCCCACGGGCCCACGGGGCTGCAGGCCTGGGGATTCCTTCCTCGAGGGCTTTGCTCCTCGGTTGGGACGCCTGATCTGATGTGGGGCTCTAGATAATAGGCAAGCACAACAATGAAATGCTAAAAACAGCAAAAAGAGCAACATTCAAAAGGAATGGTTCTAATATTCTATTAATGGCCTTGGTGTATTATCACCAAAGCTGACAAGCTCCTGTCCTATGCTTTGATATTTGCAAATCTAGAAACCTGTTTCTGCTTCTGTCTGACACATGAAGAAAGAAGAAAATATACAAAAGAGAAGTTTCAGTAGTGGAAAGAATGATAACAGTCAGTACTATTATACCAATCTTACAAGAAATGAGCATGCACATAACAAGAGAGGATGCAACTTACTAAGTTTTGTAATTGTAGTTTCCTCTGACTTTGAATAAGGAGAATATATCAGGCTACAGTCCTATGCATAAGTTCTACCCAGCCAGAAGACATCCCCAGCAAAACAAAAGCTGACTAATAGCTTTGACAGGCCCCAAAACAGAGAGACAGAATGTTAAAACAATCCTCCTACCGCCATCTTCATTCCCCTGCGTAAAAATGTCAAAACATAAAAATTGCCTCAAAAGTAAATGTAAACAAAGCCAAACTGCAAGCACCTCTACTCTGTGCATCACCCACGATGTCAAAGGGAACAGAGCAGCGGCAGGGGAGGTGGAATTTATTTTTCAGACGAGGTGTCACAGTTATTTTGCTCTAGGGATTGGTTTTGGAACACAGAACTGAAATCCGTGGCCAGAAATGTCACCCAACTTTAATTAGTGATCCCTGCTTCATCTTCTGCATGGTCTGCAAGAAAACCACCTCCCTGGAATACGATTTAACAGCAGCACATACTTATATACACTCCTGGGTTTTGCTTTCAAACAATTTCTTCAAACTTAACAGCACAGGGTAGTGGCTAATTGTCCTTATTTTTATGCACAAATTTAAATTTCAGCTTAAAGATGTGGATGAACTGTTAGGCTTTGAGCTCTATAAAAGATACAAGAAGGAATATATCTTGTATTTCTCACAGCTTTACCAGAAAAACTCTGATAATCATTTATATCACTCAACAAAGCAATCAATTTTAATATTATTTTACTTTCACATTCTTGTGCTGGTTTTTTTTTGAAATGTCAAGATCAATTTATCTGATAATCATAAAGCACATGAATTTACACAACTTGGCACTTCTTTCTGCTAACTCAGATCTCTCACTTTACTTTCTTCCTTTGGATATATGAGCACACAAACATCAACATTATTTGTTATTAAAATGATAGAAACACACAGGCATGAAAAATTTGATTCTTGCATTTAGAATTGGAGCATGGCTTGGGTTGGAAGGGACCTTAAAGATCACTGAGCTCCAAACTCCTGCTGTGGGCAAAGTTGCCAACCACATTAAAATTAGATCATTTCTTCTAACCACCTGTGTCAAGTTTTATTAGAGAAAAATAAGAATTTCACAAAATGCACATGCAGTTTATTTTAAGAAAACTGTTAGTTAACTAAAGTTACTTTTGGAGTGGATACAGAAGAAAGAACCATGTAGAGCAGAACATGGTTAGCAATAAATTAACCAGTTGATTCCATAAAGGCTATATTAGCTGTGGGTATGGAGCAGTTTCTAACCAACACATCCTTTCAGATCCTTCAGTTTGTTATTGATTCTTCAGCCACCAATGAGTTCAACGGCTGAAATAAACTGAATGGCAAAATGTTCTCTCTGCACATGATAAAAACAACTACCACCAAAAGCTCATTTATCTCCAAGATCCCTCCTACCAGAATAAAGGACTGATTTTTTTTTTTAGAGCTTCAGCAATAAATCTGACTATAATATATTTATTTTTGCCCAATAAATTATATTTATGCCTTATTAGAAAATGAAGTGCAATTTTCATGTTACAAATACATCTAAAAAGAACATGAAATTAAGGCAGCCTGGTTTAATTCCACCAGTCTGCCTGAGCCGCTCGTTACCTGTGTTCAGCTGGAACTGGAGGGGGCCAAACAGCAGGGTCTCTAAAAGGCTCATCTTGATTGGACACAGGGATATCTGCAGGTCTGTCCATTTTAAAACTCTCTAAAGTGTCAACAATGCTCTTAACTTGTTCATATTCTTCGACTAATTCTTGCTGAACCTTCAGAAACACAGACATCATTTAAAAATGGTTACATTTTTAAAACGTAAATCTCAAAATCTCAGACTCTGGGGTTTCCATTCCAAACCCCAAACACATCAGGGTGACAAGAGCCTTGACAGCAGCATCAACAATTGAATCAGTTGGGTTTATCCTCCTGCTTGTGAGTGCCTGAGGAGACTTGGAGACATGACTGCTAATGCATGGATTGACACCATGCAATTTTAACATGTGCAGTTGCCAAAGTTAACGAGTGCTTGTTGACACGTGTGCACAATTAAGACATAGTTTTAGAGCATAAGGGTCCTGCTTGCAGATCTTTAACATTTGCTTCCATTCTGGCATAAAAGAACTTCTCAGAGTACAGTCTCCAGGGTTCTAGTTAGAAAACTGGCCAAATGTGTACAATAAAATATTATAAAAGTGATTTTTTGATGGGCACAGTATTACTGTACAGTCAAAACAGAAAACAATTCATTGATGGATTATGAAGACTAGAAAAAAAAAAGGGGAACTTTAACACCCTGTAGCATAAGTTCAAATGATAAGCAAAGCAGGTGAGGAAAGAATGAGAGGAAATTATGTATCAGGAAGAAACTGCTGAACTACGCAGTTGAATTTTATACTTAATGTTTCCACTGCCACCATTAGCATTTCTGCAGTAATTTCAAAATTATTTAATGAATATTTGTTCATTATTTTTTTTCCATTAAGTCTGGGAAAAAACTTCACAAGTTTTAAGTAATACAGTTTACTGCAAGTTCAAGTTTTGTGTGTTAAGGTCACCAGTCCTTAGTGCACATCGACAGCCAAAAAGGCACTCTACATTCTTGCTCAAAAACATGAGCTCGTGGTACATTAGCTTAAGATGTACTTGGATTCACTAAGTGCACTTGCATGGCATTTTACCAGTCTTCCACCTGCTGTTCAATGATGCTTTCCATCCTGCAGGACCAACCTCCACTCTTGTGAAGGAAATTAATGTTAAGTAGCACCACACCTTACCAATGTTCTTCCTAATGGCACTTACTGATGCAGCTAGCAACCTATAATCTCCCGTGTGCTCAGAAAGGAAGCATGGTAGGCAAGTGCAGGCTGCTGTGTCCTACCAGCATATGTGCAGAAGCACACTTGGCTCATATCTGCTCACCTCATTTCTCCCTCACGCTCATTTTCTCCCACTCAGGACTACTGAAACGATGTGCAGCCCCTCACCGAGGACTGCAGCACTGTCATTCAGCTCCCTGGAGCAGAAAGGAGGGTAGAATCTGAAAATGTAGAGAAAGTGAGCTTTTGGTGCCTTGGAAGCTGAAAAGAAACTAACAGCTGCTGCCCGTTTGTTAGCAAGACCTGAGCAAACTCTGGAACACACAGCCCTTATCGCTGTCTTGGTACCTGGCAAATGAACCAAAAGCCCTCAATGTACTTAAACAAGACAACCACAAAGGAAAAACATTCGACAAATTCCTAGAGGCTTTGAAGAGTCTGAGTCAGATGAAACAGGTGCAGAAAATGTTTCTTGCAGCTGGCAAACAAACAAGCCAGATACAAACCAAGAGGGGCTATGCCATAATTAGGGAGGTGACTGAGCAGAGCCTCTGAGGGATGAGTGTGACTGCAGCAGCCTGTGAAAGCTGCAAACAGGGAAATCACTGGTCTGGACTCACCCAGTCTCTTTTCACCTTCCCTTAGGTGTAAGGGCTCCCAGGTGGCTCCAATTCAGGTTACAGAGAACTCCCCAAAAATCCTTTTACGTTATTCATGTTTAAGCATAGGCTGACTTAACAGCTCTCACTGCCAAAAAGAAAGATCTCGCCCTCCTCACATCTACATAACCACACTCCCTACAGCTATTCTGGACTCAATTCTGGCAGAAAACAACCCTAGGAGGGTATTAACTAAATATATAAATAAAGGAGCTTTGCTGAATTGGCAAACTGCACTGGCTTGCTAGCTTGTGATCAGATGAATACAAGGACAAAGAACAGCAGGGTGCAGAGGAGGGAGAGAAGCTAATGCTGCTGAGAGAAGTCTGGGTGGGAAGAGCTTGGCCCTGCTGGGCATTCAGCATCAAGAACATCCTAACACATGGGTATAAACACAATGACCAGGAGCTGAGCTCACTTTCTCTTTGCAGTAGTTCCAAAGAGTTTCAGAATTCCTCCATGTTCCACAATCCTGCAACTGCAGTACCTTTGAGACCAGCTCTTCCTTGTTATGCTACAGCCTAAACCTCCCATAACATGAATATTTTGTATTTTGGTAAATGCATGTAACGCATGGGGCTGTTTTTTAATTGCATAATGCTGGAACAAAACTAATAGAGTATCTATGAAAGCATTTTCCAAACCTGAAATTACTGCCTGTAATTAGCATTAGTTGTTCAACAAGCTCCACTTAAAAAACTGAAAATAACAATTCCTTCAGTCATACCCAAAATGGATGCTCTGTGTAATCCCATGGAGTCAAAGCACAGTATTCACAGGTCTTCATGCAGAATATTCCTTAATTACTCATGAAACAATTTATGTAGTGTTAATAAGACAGGCATGAGGCAGAAACAACAGAGGCACAGACTGACTGACAGGCATTTAAAATTGTAAAACCAGAATCAACCTTTATTTTAAGAGCACAGAGCACCTAATCACTTGCTCCAATGGGGTTGACTGCAAAGGGTGCCTTGCTGGCCTCTCACAGCACTCTGAAAATCGTCCAATTTCCGCCTTAGCTCCAGCTCCTGTGCTCTCAGATACTGTGCAACACACAGCACGCGGTCATAACATGCAGCAGGTTTTGCTCGACAGCCTCTGGCCTTGACAAAAGACCGTGCTATCTCCTGGGGGCACGCTCAGCTGTCACTCTGCAGCTGCTGAACTGTCACTGAAGCAGCTCCTTCCTACAAGCCAGCTGTCTAGTAAAAAGACTACAAGCGCCAAGAAACTCTATTGGAGTAAACAAAGGGAATGTCAGAAGTAGTAAAGTTCACAGTAGCAGTCGTGAGAGAAAGTCTACCTTTTGTAGTTGTGAAGTATAGAGATGAGTTGCTTCAGGTTTTGACTGGGGCTACTCTGAGCCATCCAAGAATAAGCTGCAAACCCTCCAGATATAAAACAAGTAAGGGTCTCACTAGCAGGTGATGCTCAATATCACCATGCCAAGCAAGTAATCAGAAAATGAACCCCATGAAATGGCTAGGGGAATTCTCATATTGTCACATTGCTACTTTGGCAGACCCTGCAATGACCTCCAGGATGCATTTTTTGTTGTTTTGAAGTTGTGCATGTTGTTCCAGATTAATAACAATCCCCAGTCAACACTGGTTTTGACACTCTAGAAGCAGTATTGCCTCAAGTGAACCTGCATCCCTAAGCTGTTCCCAGTGGAGCTGATGTGTGTTCGTGTTCCTTCTCCTCATAATTATCCTCTCAGCACCAAGCACAAGAACTGGCAATGAAAGCTGAAGCTGTCTACATGCGCTGTGTGAAATACAACCTACTAAATACTTGGATTGCAGCACTGAGCATCATTCTGACTAGACCAGCCTCTAGAAATTTGAAAATCCCGTCACCTAAGCTAAGAAAAGTAGATCAAGAGTCTTTGGGAGTCTGACCCAAAATCTCACCTAGTTGTGGTTCATCTCTGCTCTACATCTCTCAATAAACTCAATAAAAAACTGCTGGCAAAATCCTGTTAGTATACAGAGCCACAAAGCAGATTCACCCAATGGAAAATCCCCTACAGAGAAGTGACTGTATGGGGGAGAATAATGGTCCATACAAGTGGCAAGCTAACTGACTGCCATGGCACAGCTTAACCATTCTTGGAGGTATGTTACTCTTAGGGACATTCCAATTTTAGGAGGGAATGAGTACACAACACCTGAAACTGAGCTCACTGCCTCAGAAAAAAACCATGCACTGTCCACAACTGGACAGAAAGAAGGGGCAGGTTTGATGTTGCCAGTTTCCCTCAGTGTCCATTTCCTAGGAATCCCTCAGGAGGTTCAAGGATCAAGATGAATTGTGAGCATGCATACAGACTGCAGATCCTAAAGAATTGATTCAATAATCTTTTCTTCTCCTTTGAGCATTTACCTACATGTATATTAATGTCATGGACCATTCCCAACAGGTACAGATCTGCCCAACTAAAGATTGCCAAACTCCACATCCAAAAAGTACCAGTGGCATTACTGTCCTCACTTTCATCAGAAGATGAAGAAAGTGAAGTAACTAAAGAACAGGTTCGTTCCATATTCCAGATGAGAGACAATTTTAGGTAAAAATTCCCTGCACTCTACCCTATCCACGACCCAAGGATTGCTTTGCTTTTCAAGAGGGCAGGGGAATATTTTGATTTTGATTCTGCACTTCGCTGCTACCAAGTGGGTTAGACCTGAATTTTCCTACATTTATGTGTACAGCATCAACACAAGTTTCTTGGTAATGTAACTCCTGGGTTTACACTTTTCATGAGAAGCAGTCTGTCAGACAGCAGCTGCATGGCACTGGCAGTTTGGAAGTAGTTGCTGTTGGAGTTGGAAAGCAGTGCTAACATCCAGATCATCAAATTCCCTCTTATTCGGTCTCAAAGAATGAGAAAGCACAAGTATCTATGAAGGGCGAGTTAGAAAGCAGGTCAGTTTTTCTAGGTCCCAGTGAGGGAAGTGCAAGTGTGAAAAAACTGCGGATTCCAGGGTTATCATTTGCTCCCAAGCCTACAGGTAGTTCTATAAATAATGAAGACAGTCTGAGTATGAAGAACAGGTTTTTTTCCACACTTATTACTTTCAGGTATTTGTCCCTGAGCAGAGATTGGCACAAGTAATGGCAAAGCTAGATTGTGACAAAGCTTAGCTACCACCCCTGTATTGAGAAGTTTCAGAATTAGCATGGGCACACAGCATGACAGACAGCACTCCACCTGCTGATGCTCTTTCTGGGGATAGCGCTTTTTAAATTGTGTACAGACACTGTTAGGGCAATTCTGATTTTACTTAAAAGAGGTAATTTCTGACAAGGTGCCAACTTCAGATTCACTGGTAAGGTGCTGACTGCCTTACCTAGAAAAGAATCCTAGAAACAGCATTAAAGGTCCCTTTATACTCAAGGTTTGTATCCAACGTACAACATACATTCCATGGTGCACAGGCAGCAGTTGAAATAACACGCAATGTCATGAGATTGTGAGACTTGAAGTAATCTTCATAAGCCAAAAGCTGTTAAAAGTTTAATGGAAGATTTAATGTCATCAGGGGAAACACAAAATACTAAAAGTGAAGGTGATGCAGAAATGCAGCTGCAGAACAAGGAAAATCTCATGTTTTTACCTGCACATCAGCTACAAATTGGGCAGGAAATAAGAACAAGATCAGGGCACAAATACCACTCAGTGTGGCCTGGAGTGGGGAGGAGCTCGAATACAAACACAAATGTCAGCATCTCCTATACAATGTTCAGCTTCTTTCAGCACCAGGAAAGCTAGGCACTATCACTGCTGTTTGTGCACACACATTCTTTTCCATCAAGGTCTCAGCCAGTATACAGACTTTAATAATTAGTTTCACAATAAAGACCTATGAATAGTATTATGATTTGATTATCATTTGATTGCTAACAGTTTTTGCTAATAGTACACAAAATACTGCAAGAAGCAGATAATTCGAGCACAAAATCATGATCAATGCACCTGCTGCAATAAAGAAAAGACTTTTCTTTTGTTTTTAATAGCATTAGTTAAACACTGATATTTAGAAAAACGCTCCTTGAAATCATCTCTTCAGCTACTGCAAAATTGTATCCTTCATAAGAGTTATGTTCTTTCAAAACATTATTCATTCAATATGATTATTTTTCTGGAATACACTTTTACATTTTTGCTCTCTGAGTTGGTATCTTTCTTTTTTTTTTCTAGATAGAGCACATTTTCTACAGTGAAAAATATGTGTGTATATATACTTACACATATGTGATACATGATCCAGACCAAGAGCATACAATTTGCATGCTGTAGTGTGCATATCTACCTGCTACTCAGACAGCCATTCTACTGATGCTAACCCATTCAACTCACACCTTAATTTGCTGAATATTAGATGGACAAGAGATAAAATAGCAAAGGGAAGTCCTCAGCAAAACAATTTTTCCAGAGCATACAGTCACACATGAACAGACCAATGGTTAGCCAAACATCGTGAGTGAAAACAAAGCAAAAAATGTTATACATTTATATAAAGATTCCTTTCAAATACACCACAAGAAATCATTCCCTATAAATGTCAACTCAACATCGTGTAGGCAACGTTATAAACTTAGCTGAAATACACATCCTCTACACTATAAAAGTTTGAGGAAGTACAGAATATTTTTCAAATACCAAGTAACAGAATACAGGCAACCTTATTTCACCATACCTGTTGCCATTTGCCCTTAATTGCTGGATCTCTGATGGACTGGCAATGTCTCTGGATTTGCTGGATGACACCCTGGTAATACACCATAGAAGAGTCATAATTCCCAATGAGTGCATAGTCTCTTCCCTTTTTGGCATTGTCACAGATCTCTGCCAAATTCATCTTCACTCAGAAACCTAGAAGAGAATATAATCATCAGCAAAACTAATTTTACATGCTGGAGTAATTCAGTCTGTGAAATTCTAGCTTTCTTACTTCTCTCAAAGCTGAATTGTGTCTTTTTTTTTCTTTACCAAGCTTTTAGCTCTTGAAACATCAAGTCTAGGGTTTGAGATCATAAATCACAACTCATTTATAGTGATTAAAAACAAACAAACAAAGGGCTATACAACTTCTTCATTGCCTTTGGTCCCAATCTCATTAAATTAATGCAAGAAAATTAAATGCCCTGCCTACCTTGAACTTCAAGGATCTAACCAGCCAAACTTTAATTTGTAGATCACCACAATATATTAGCAGCCATCAACCTGTGAATCACAAATCACACAAGGCACTAAATTGCTTTTTATGCTGTTGGATTACATACGTGCCTAAATGCTTCAACCAGCACCATGGAAGTCTGCACTTAGCACTTCTGAGAGCCCTCACCCTAATGAGATTGCAGTGCTGCTGAATGACAGCTCCACTATAGGCAAAGCTGAGAGCCTCTTTCTGTTTAAGTATTCTTGTGAAGTACATCAGCATCCAGATGCTGACTTGCACTTTTTCATTAAATCTAACATGTCCCTTTGGGATTTACAGCAGAGTTAGCATGCACATTTAAGACTTCTTAAAATGACACTTACCAAAGCACAACCTTTCCCTATCCCTCAAACAATTTAGGATTAATACTTTTTTACTAACTTTTTCATATAAGCAACAAATCATGGCACAAGTTGAAGGCAAACCCATATACAACTTCTCCCAGAAAAAGCTTGAGAAAGCAATATTAAACCACAGACTTGAAAGCATGAGGCGCTGATCAGTAAGGTCTGTATTTAAGGCTCGAGATCCAAGCAGTGCCTGCCCATCGAATTTATCCAAATCCCCCATATCCCCACATCTAAGTCCTTGCCATACAAAAGTAGCCTCAATTCCCTTGCCTTGACTCAGAACATGAAGTTCCCAACATTCATCTGGATGGACATCTCAGGAAATCAAAAATAATCTTAAGATTAATAGCTACACAAGGCAGACAAACATCAGTGGAGAAGAGGTCAGCCTGAACCCACACACCAGGCCCACTCCTCTTGTCACTAAGCCCACAGTCACATGGCCTCCTTACTGGTGAATGTCCCAGCAAGAATCTGTTGCTCTCCCACTGCCCTGAGGATGATGGTGGCACCAGGGCTTGCTTGTCCCCGCTCCCTGCCTCTTGTCTCTGGCTGCTGGAAACCTCGAGGTGGATGCAGAATGTAGGTGGATGTGGCAACCACCTGTAATTTGCTCTCTCTTGGAGCTGAGGGAGGGCAGGATGGAGAGTTCCAGTTGTAGAACTCTGACTAGTAATAATTGGAGAGGAGGTGGAAAAATTTACATGGCTTAAAAATGTGATGGGAACCATACAATAATCTCCCATTTCCTCCATGAGTTTGGAGGCTCCAAGTGTGATGCTGGTGACACAGAAGGACAAGCAACAGCTTGATGGTTGATACACCACATTGTGGAGCTTCTGCATGCCCAGAGGCACTGAGACTTTGTGGAGGTGTTCAAGAACCATGGATGGCACTAAGGGACACTGTTAGTGGGCATGGAGAGGATGGGCTGATGGTTGGACTTTGTGATCTTAGTTGTCTTTTCCAACCTTAATGATTCTATGCAACTTGGAGCACACAGGGAAGTCACTGCTTGTTCATATGCTCCTACAGTATCCTATCAATTGGGAAATGCCTATTATGCCTCCAGAACTAGTCTGATTAGCAGAATCTTCTGCATTTGGGTATTTCAGTTTTACTTATCACTTATTCTAGACACCAAATCAGGTAATACTGACACAAAGAGGTGACTGTAACATCATCCACTTACGTGAGATGTGTTGGAAACAGCAGCTGTTGACCTCAGTCCTAAGAAAGAGCTCCCCCTTATGACCAGGCAATGCTCTGAGGCCCTACTGCAAAAAGACTGACTAGTTCAAACTGATGGCAAAAAATTGTTTAAACAGGATGCAGTCCTTTTACACCTACTAGCTGTGGTACTGTTCATTCAAAACAGCCAGACTTGAAAGCAGGGCAGAACATGCTCACAATTCAGGGAAAAAAAAAAAAAAAAAAACAGGTCTTTTGGGGAAAGCCTTCTTTCCTGGATTGTTTTCTGGACAGCTACACACCAGTGAGAAGACGCAACTAGAACTAGGTAGAGGGTTTTTCCATATTCTATACTTATTTTTTTATTATCTGCTCTGCATCAAATTATAAAGTTAATACACTGTGTACATCAAAGAAACCAGAAATAGAAAGTGCATAATTAATTTTGTGTCATTTTTAAGTATTTGCTTCTCCTGCTGTGCCACAGCTGCATACTTTAAGTAAATGTGTAGCAAGGGACAACTGTTGTCAAGCACATTTAGGACAACTTACACGTTCCTCGTGACACCAGCTTCCCATCCTATCGTTGTATGGTTCTCTCCTGCACCAGACCATAACAGCTCCCCTGTACATCAAGGTACGCTCTGAGATTCCTCAGTTCACGGATCATTGACAAGCAGAGACATTACAGACATTCCATCAGTAGAGCTGCCACACACAGGGTCTTAAGCCCACTTGTTAAAAACTCCGCAGCAGCATGGCTAAAAGGTCACAGGGGATATTAATCTCCATTCTTCGGAGCATAAGCTGAGCTGATCCCTAGCTGGGGTCAGGAAAGAATTTTTCTCCCACAGCCAAAGCAACGTACAATTGAGCAAGATCCAAAAGATGGTCTTTTTTTTCTTTTTTTTCTTTTTTAAGTATTAAAATATTACACACTCAGAGATATACCAGTGAGAACGGTGGGCAGGAGGGGGAGCGCAGGCACTGCTCCTTCTGCACACCATCTCCAGCTGAAGCGTGCAGGGCCATCCCCGCATCCATATTCACTGGGTGCTGCCAGGAGCAATCAGTTCCCTCACTTCAGGCAGGGTCTGCAGCAGGATTTTTTCCTCTTGCTTGCTACTACACACTCAAATTTGCAAATGCCAACACAAAAAGCATCTTTGCAATCTTTCTGTTTTTCATTCATGCCAATGTGTTGAGACAATCAATTACACAACTTTGTCCCATTTTCTCCACAGGCATTTGACTCCTGCACAAAGCAAAACGACATACATTAAATTGTGCAGTTATTCATTTCTTCTTTATTCTTACAGGCTCAGTAGTCACATCAAGCCTTGCCTGCTGCCTGCTTGTCAGACTTCTCTTCAAATCACTGTTAGTTTCCCCGCATATAGGGCTATAATATACAAATTCTGATGCTATGATTCTATGTTTTAACCTTGACTTGCATCTTTTTCTGACCAGAAGCTGACCTGAGCAGACCAAAAATTTTCCACAGCTCCCTGAGATTTCTGGACAGATGGACGCACGTCATAGCAGCTGTGCACTTCTGCTGACTGGGCGGCGGAACATCTGGCAAGGCCTGGGCATCCACAGATGAAGACCAGTTACTAATTCTGGTTCTCATTATCTGCAGAACAAATACACAGCGCAATGGTGTGCAGCCAGAAAAGCAATGGGAGAGACCTGATTAATATCAAAAGACAGAGCCATGCTCTTCAAAGAATCGTAAGGTTGGAAACGACCACTAAGATCACCAAGTCCAACTGTCAACTCATCACACCATGCCCACTGACCACATCCCTCAGTGCCACATCTCCACATTTCTTGAACACCTGCAGTGACGGTGACTCCACCACTTCCCTGGACAGCTGTGCCACTGCTTCACCACTCTTCCTGAATTTTTCTTAATATCCAACCTGAACCTTCACTGGTGGAACTTCAGGCCATTCCCTCCTGTCCTATTGCTGTTAAATGGGAGAAGAGGCCAACCCCCACCTCACCACACCTCCTTTCAGGCAGTTGTACAGAGCAGTAAGGTGTCCCCTGGGCCTCCTCTTCTCCATACTGAACAATCCCAGCTCCCTCAGCCACTTCCCATCGGACTTGTGCTCCAGACCCCTCACAGCTTCCTTGCACTTCTCTGGGCCTCCAAGGCCTCAATGCCTTTCTTGTAGCCCAAAACCAAACACAATTTTAGGCAGAGCCCTCCTGAAATCCTGTGCACAACTACACACCTCCCTCAACAGCATCATAATGGGCCCCAGCCAGTACACAGCCTCAGAACATTTTTCTCACGAAACAAAGTAGGGGAGGGAATTCCAGTTTTAGGCAACCATTGTGGCTGTGCAAGGACCTGCAGCTTAAACTGAGAAAAAGGGGAAATGTACAGAAAGTGGAAGCAGGGCTGTGTATCCTGGGAGGAATACAGGGCTGTTGTCCATGTGTGTAGAGATAGGATTAGGAAAGCCAAGGCGCAGATGGAGCTGAACTTGGCGAGGGATGTGAAAGATAAGAAGGGGTTCTACAGGTACATAGGCAGGAGAAGACAAGCCAAGAAGAGTGTTCCCCCTCTGATGAAAGGTAATGGGGAGCTGGCTTCCTCAGACATAGAAAAAGCTGAGGCATTCAATAAATGCTTTGCCTCAGTCTTCACGGGTGCTGGCTTCCTGTATCTGCCAGAATCATGAGCCCCTAGGTAAGGGTGTGGGGAGTGGTTTCTGTCCCACTTAACAGTGGAACAAGTCCAAGTCCTCCTCATGAAATTGAACATGTGTAAGTCCATGGGCCAGATAATATCCATCCTGGGGTTTGAAAGAGATGGCTGATGTGATTGCCGAGCTACTCTCCATCATATTTGAAAAATCATGGCTGTCTGGTGAAGTCCCCAGTGACTGGAAAAAGGGAAATGTTACTCCCATTTTTAAGAAAGGGGGAAAGGAAGACCTGGGGAACTACAGGCCAGTGAGCCTCACCTCTGTGTCAGGGAAGATCATGGAGCAGATTCTCCCAGAGGCTGTGTTAAGGCACATACAAGATAAACAGGTCATTTGAGACAGCCAGTGTGGCTTCACCAACGGCAGATCATGCCTGAGCAATCTGGTGGCCATCTATGATGGAGTGACAGCTTCGGTACATGGGGGAAGGGCGGTGGATGTCATCTACCTGGACTTCGGCAAAGCCTTTGACATGGTCCCTCACCACATCCTTCTCTCTGAATTGGAGAGGTGTGGATTTGAAGGATGGACTATTCGATGGATTAGGAACTAGCTGGCTGGACACAGCCAAAGGAATGTGATCAATGGTTCTGTGTCAGGGTGGAGCCGGTCACAAGCACTGTCCCTCAGGGGTTGGTCTTAGGACCGGTGCGTTTCAACATCTTCATCAATGACACAGATGATGGCGAGTGCATCCTCAGCAAGTTTGCTGATGACGCCACGCTGAGCGTTGCGGTCGATACATTAGAGAAGAAGGAAGCCATCCAGAGGGACCTGGAGAAGTGGGCCTATGAAAACCCAATGAGGTTCAATAAGGCCAAGTGCAGGGTGCTGCAGTTGGGTCGGTGCAATCCCAGATATTTATACAAACTGAAGGAAGATCTTCTTGAAAGAAGCCATGCGGAGAAGGACTTGGGGGTCCTGGTGGATGAGAAGCTGGACATGAGCCAACAGTGTGCACTTGCAGCCCGGAAGGCCAACTGTGTTCTGGGCTGCATTAAAAAAGGGGCTCCCAGTACAGGAAGGATGTGAGTGGGTCCAGAGGAGGCCACTAAGATGATCAGAGGGCTGGAGCACCTCTCCTATAAGGAAAGGTTGAGAGAACTGGGATTGTTTAGCTTGGAGAAGAGAAGGCTCCAGGGAGACCTCATTGTGGCCTTCCAGTACTTGAAGGGAACACAGGAGGGGGAATGGCTGTTTATGAGGGTGGATAGTGACAGGAAAGGGGGAATGGTTTTAAACTGAGACGGGGAGGTTTAGGTTACATATTAAGAGGAAGTTTTTCACAGAGGGTGGTGACGCACTGGAACAGGTTGCCCAAGGAGGCTGTGGATGCCCCATCCCTGAAGGCATTCAAGGCCAGGCTGGATGTGGCTCTGGGCAGCCTGGTCTGGTGGCTGGCAACCCTACACATAGCAGGAGGTTGAAACGAGATGATCTTTGAGGTCCTTTTCAATCCAGGCCATTCGATGATTCTGTGATGTAGGTGGTCTCAGCACTTGAACTTATCTGCTTTTCACTTGCACTTATTTCTATTTCCACATTCTAAGCAATGAACTGCCAGTTATTCTTCTCTTTCTTCTCGTTTTGCTGCTTCAAAGCTCTTCCTTATGATTAACCTAAACTTGTCCTCCATTTCTGGCCATACTGTTCCTAAAGTCAGCTTTGACCAGTTTCAGATATCCTCCCTCAATTATGTTTTTACCTAATACAAACATAGGATCCTACTTTACATTTTTCCCTTCAAGGTTAAAATTTGTCAAAATAGAGACATATAATGACATGACAACAGTAGAAGTGTGAACTGAAACACTACCTGGAATGTCATCAGGGAGGAAAGACATTTATTGCTGCATCACCTGCAATCCCCATCAGAAGGCTGCAGAAGTGTATTTCTGACTGAAGTAGTCAGACTGCATTTCTTTCTGGGCATGATGTATTTCAACTGATTTTTTTTTAAGAATGTTATTTAAATACGCAATCATTAAGAAAAAAATCTTGCCAGTTTTATTAGATTATCATTTTCATGATGGATGTGAGTACACAACAACTGGTTTCCATTTCCAGTAATTAATTGTCCCTTTGAGAAGCGATCACCAATGCCACAGACAATTGTCAGGCATTACACTGGTGTGACAAAAGCATTTTGAGTCATCACTGACAGAGAGGTACAACCAGACAGGCTCACAAAGTTCCACGGCAAAATCTCCTTCCCCAGTAACCTGGCTTTCCTTTGACTTGCTGCAGCAGCTCCACGAACTTGGATGGGCACTAACAATCGTTATCTCACTGCATCACTACTTCTGCTAAAATACATGTGAATAAGTAAACATGTGGCTCAGTTTCAGCAGTTTGGTTATCTGCTTTCTCTTAAGCGGCATTGGGCTTCTTTGCACTGAAACCCCCTTTTGAAACATTAGATGCAGAGATAATGGGAAAATGTGCATGGAACTGGTAAGATGAGACATGCACAGAGGCCTCAAACAACTGGTGTGGATTATTCCAAGAGCTAACTTAAAATGCAAGTGGAAAGAAAAAAATCTTCAAATGAAGTGAAGACATTCACCTCAGGTTAATAGGAATCACAAATACACAATAACTCCCTAAACAGCTGGTCAGTGCATTAATGCTATTGCTCTGAACAGTGAGCATCCTGCAGAGCACCATGACCTTTTGCAAAGCCTCAGAACTACCTAGAAAGAGAAGTGCCAGAAATTGCTGTGCTGTTCTACAACTGACTGCAAACTGCATTCTCCTCCAGAGTACCCAATGTGCCAACTTCGGGCTCACCCACACAGTCACATCTGCACTACTTCAGGTAATGACGTGCTCATCAACTAGCCTAGATAACTGAAATGAGAACAGCGAATGCAAATGCTATGGGACACTTGAGGGAGTGTAATTCCATGCACATGTGCTTTAGGTTGTGACAGTATTAGCATATTCTTTGCAATCTGGACTCAAGTTGGTTTCAGCATCTCTCCTCTACAGCATGGTCTCCTGCACTTCTAGCATTAGTGCCACACCAAACCCAGAGCAGCTTGAAGTGCCCACATGATACCAGCCTAGAGGTGGTGGATCCCTCCTTCAGCAAGATGCACAGCTCAGATGCTTCAAGGCTTCTGCAGGGCTTGTCCAGAGCTCAGGGAAATGAAACTCAGCCCAGATCAGTAACCCTTCTGTCTCTCTCCGCATCAAACTCTCCGCATAAGCTCTTCTAGTGGAGGAAACATGCCACCAAAGATTCCCAGGATGGGTCTGTGCAGAACCAGCTTGGGTTCAAAGTGTTTGTTAGGTCAGTCTCTGAGTCAGTAAAGTTAAACTGTTCCTGCACCTGGCTCTGGATACAGCACATCCATGCTTCCACACCACTGCGACTCACAACCGCTGTCAGAGCAAAGCCAGCTGCACAGAGATTCAGTTCTGGTGCTGCTACATTCCTAGTGAAGCTGATCTGCAAGCCAGATAAACTTTCCATGAATAATTGCAGGTTTAATGGACTCACACATGTGTTTATAACCCTGACTCATAAGGTCAGAATTTATGCTGGATGCTTTCCCTTCTTTGAAATTCCCCTTTGAATTCCAAAGAATTTGCTCTTTAGGACTATGAATGTTCCAACTTAGAATTTTGCTTTTTTAAAGTCTTCTGAAAAAACAGTCAGTATTCTTTAGAATGTATATGCATACTGCTGTTAGAGCTGCAGTTATCAAGTCTTGTCAGATTTCTCAGCTTGTCCTCCAAAGAATATTTTTTTTCTACAATTATTTACGTAGAAAATCACAGATTTGGTTCCTTCCATTTGATCCTTCCATTTACTTCTCCACCTTGAGACTGTCATTAGCTGAGGGCAGGACACACTCCTCTGTGACCGCTGAGGAGTCTGGACCTGTGAGCAGAGACTCCACGGCCTGGGGAGCATCCATGGCTGCTGGGGAGCCTCAGCCTGCCCAGGCTGCATCTGATGTCAGCAAAAGAAAACAAATAAGTTTCTTACGAAGACAGGCTGAGAGAGCTGGGGTCGATCAGCCTGCAGAAGAGAAAGCTCTGGGGAGACCTGAGAGCGGCCTTTCTGTATCTAAAGGGGGGGCTGTAAGAAAGGACAGACTCATTATAAGGGTCTGTTGTAATAGAACAAGGGAAAATGGTTTCAATCTAAAAAAAAAGATAAACTTAGCCTGTATGTAAGAATAAAGTTTTCTAGTTTTCTATAATAAGAGAGATGAGGCACTGGCACAGGTCACCCAGAGTGATGGTGGATGCCCCATCCCCAGAGACACTCGAGGTCAGGCTGGATAGGGCTCTGAGCACCTGATGGAGCTGTAGGTGTCCCTGCTCACTGAAGGGGACTTGGATGAGGTGACATTTAAAGGTCCCTTCCAACTCAAATGCCTCTATGATAAATCAAACCTTCAGCTACAATAAAGATCAAGCATCCACTGGATAGAAACCCTACTCTGAGAGCCACGTACTGGGAACAGGCATTCACATTAATATATGCAGGAAAACAACTGCAGGGATGCTTCTCAGATTGCCGGGGGGAAATAAATAAATAATTAAATCCTTACAGCATACCAACAATGAATATTAGTATTTCACACATCATCTTGAACAGGAACTGTAGGTCTCCACGCCTACAGTAAGGTAAAGGAGAGCACAAAGCCATCAGTAGAGGACACGGAGAGGCACAGGAGTCAAACGCACGGACACCGTGATGGCACAGCGGGCGCGATGCACGCCGTGCGGAGCCGTCAGCCCCAAGCCCTCGGCACCCTCCTGCCCTCCGCCGGCCTTCCCGCCTCCTCCAAAGCCCCGTGGACCACGCTCCCTCCCGCCGGTGGCTCGCTTTCCCCCTCCCCTCGCCCGGTCCCATCCCCGCGTCTGCGGCCCCTCCGTCCCCTCAGAGCTGATGGAGCCGGGCCTGCCCACCTCCCCCCGCACGCACCTGTCGGCGCCCACCCCTCCTCACAGCGCTCCCCCGCGCGAGGGCAAAGCGCCGATTCCCCCCGCAACGCAACAGAGGAGCGCGCCGGGGGTTGTAGTCTCCACCCGCCGCTCCTCCGCTCGGCGCCGGCGGGCGGCGGGCGCCGCGGGACTACGCTTCCCAGCATGCCCCGCGGCAGCCCACCCCTACCTCAGCCCACGGCCACCCCCAGCGCCTCCGGGGCGGACGTCGTTGGGCCGCAGCGCACCGCGGCTCATCCGCGCCCCGAGGGAGCCGCCCCGCCATTACCTGGGAGGAGCGGGGTGCGTGTTCTGGCGCCGGCGGAGCGGGGAGGGGGACGCGGTCTTTTCTGCGCTCGAGCAGAGCGAGGAAGAGTGGTGTGGGGGTCGGGGAAAGGGTCGAGCAATAGGTAAAGGGGGACGAGGGGAAGGAGAGAGGGGCACGCGCGTGGCGGCGACGGGCGGTTGCTATGGCGGCGGGGAGGGGCGCGGCTTCCTCTGAGCCCGCCCCCGGGCGCGGCCTCCCCGCAGGGCGGGCGGTTCGCTCCCTTCCCGTGAGGGACGGCTCGGGGCTGGGTCGGGCTCGGCGGTATGAGTTAGGCGGCCGGGATGTGCCGCTAACGGCCCGCGGGCTCGCAGCGGGAAGGGGCGCGGCTTTCCGGCCGGCTGCAAACAAAGGAAAAGCCCTCTGCGCCTGCGGGGGGCGGCGGGTGTGTTCTGCGTGCCTCCAGGGATCGTGCTTCGCTTAGAATGCGGAGCTCCTCTGCTTCCGTGTCAGCTGGTGGGGCGGCTTGGAGAAAGAAAATACACTGCTGTCCTGGGTTGGCACGCAGGAGGAGGCTGGATGTGGCCTTTGCTAGGGTGTTTCGTCGCCTCTGTGTAGTAGATGTGGGGAGTTGGCTGTTCCTTGGGCAGTGCTTGGTAAGGCGGATGGCCTTACAGGGCATTATCTGCTGAGGGTGAATTTTGTGAGCAGCCTGGTTCCTGTGCAGGAACAGAGGCGCACGCCTCTCTGAGGGTGTAGTTTTGCAGTTAGTGCAGGCCTGCCTGTGTATGTTGCCATCGGATGGGCAGTCCTGTCTTCCTCTCTGATAATCCTGGTTGGGTTTTCCTGTTTATTTACAAAGCAGTAACCCTGATGTTGCCATCTGGTGAGGCATGCCTGGGGTCCAACCCAGCTGAAAGCCAGTTATGCCCCTCCAAAAAACAGCTGGCTTTCAGCTGAGCCTACTCCTGAACGAGGTGAGCTGCAGCGAGCACCAGGAGGATGGAGGTGGAGGCAGGAGGAGCCCACTGAGACCACAGAAGAGCTGAGCTGCACTGCTGCAGTCACTCCCTGCTGCCACAGCTCCTGTGTGATAGTGCTGAGAGCGTCCTGCTAATAACAGCCTGGTGATAGCTCCCGATGGCAACATGATTTGTCTGGAAAATGTAAATTGCAATCTTAAGGTAGCAGCATGAGGTTGTATCTCACAGTAGAGTTCTCAGAAATGCTGACTGATGCAAGTGAAAGAGCAGGGATTGAAACTAGGTGCTGAGAGCATCACTTAATGCAGCATGTGTGAATGTGTCACTCATAGATGTACGTATCTCCCTTCCCTGAAAATCATGTGGAGATTCTTAGGCCTTTTTGAGTATTTTAGAACTGGAGCCAAAGCTGTGATGAATTCATAACAGCTGCAGCTCTGGCTTCCCCTTTTTCCAGCTTTCTTCAGTCTTTCCTGTCCAGGACATCAATTCTTGCTGTTCTGTCACATACAAAAGCACAGATGCTATGCGGACATTGGAGACTTCAGTGGTTGTCAGGGAAAGCAGACATTACACAGCCCTGTGCCGCCATAATCCATTCTCAAAAGACTTATTGTACCTCTTATCACATTAGACAGCACATAAACTGCTTTGTCCAAGGCTCATATCCCTCATCTGGGAAACTGTAACAGAGAGAAGGTTAGTTAGTTAGTCATAATCTCTGTGTGTGTTTTTTCCTTCAGTGTTTTCAGTAGTATTTGAGGCAAGTTGTTCTGCTTCCTAGTGGTATAGGATATCCTTGCTCCCATTGGCCTCCCTTAAAAGAGTAGTTACTGAACACAGTAATTATTCCTTGTCACTCTTGTTGGACCTCTCAGAAGGAAGGTCTGTTTTGGGAAGTGTCTGTCTGCACATTTTGCCAAGATCTGTGAAGTGGCAACAGGAAGAGAACAACTTCTCCAAAACCTAGCCATGTACATTAGCTGTACGTAAGGATTACAGCTCAGGCTGAAAGGGGCTTGGAAGGTCACTTAGTCCAGTCTCTTTCTCACTTTATGTCTGTATGGTCTTTGATATGAGATATGGCAAAAAGAAGAAGGACTAACAGCCATCAGGAATTAATAAATTTGCTAATAACGTAAAAGAATGGTAGCCATGAGTGTGATATTTTATAGCTTTTACTGCTGCTGTGATCAGACAAACTCCAGCTTACCTGGCTGGGGTGACCTAAGAAATATTACTTCCCTGACTGTTCTGCCTCTCGACTGGAGATTATTGCCTCCACAACAGTCCCAGGAATGGAAAGCGCAAATGTTTCTAATACATTTTAATGTAAAATATGGCATTAAACTGATCTTTATCTACAATTTGAGCTAATTTGTTGGACATCGTATTAAAACAGCTGGGACTCGTGCATGTATTTCATTTCAGCAACTTGCTGTCGTACAGTGATCTCAGGCGAGGAGAGTGAAGGAAGTTTCTGTGTGAGGGTGATGCTTCACTGAAACTTCTTTTACAGCTGGTGTATTCTCAGGTCTTACTTCTTTTTATTTTCTTGATAAAGGTTATATATGTAGCAGCTTGGGATAAGAGATGATGCTGGTGGGTGTCAGTGGCTGTGGTTAGACAGGCTCCAGCTGTGGTGGTGGAGAAGGGCATTACTCACAGCTGAACCCCAGAGACTTATCATGCCCCTTTGCAGCGATCTGCAAATCTGCCAGCTGAGCTGATTGCATGCCCTCTTTCTCTGATTTATTCTAGTCAGTTCAGTCAGAAGCTGATGTAAATTAATGGAGCTCGTTTGCTGTGAACATTTGATTTGGTTCAAAAGTGTCTCTTAAGGTAGAATAATTGCAGACACTGTCAGATAAGTTTAAAGCTATTCACAGTTAGGGTCTGTGTCAGATTAACAAAACTGGTTTCTAAATTGATTTGGTTATCGTTACGTAAATTCCATAGACTGTGTCTAACTTAGGTTGTTGGTGCAGGCTTTTAGCACAGAGTTGCAGGGAACTTCATTTGTAACCTTCTCCCACACACAAAGTTCTGTAGGAAAAGATTGAAAGCATGTGAAGTGAGATACCTATGAATTGTGAACTGCCATTTGCTTTTGTCTTTTCTTCCCCTTGCAATTATATTTAACTTGACTGCTGGAATTATTATGCCTTTGTAATAATGCTTAATGCTCACGTGCAGACATAACTCTTCACCAAAGGTCTTATAGGTTACACTGAGAAATGCTGTAATAACAGAAGGTAAAAAAACAACAGGGAGGCAATTGAGAAAAAAGGAGGATGTTACATATTCATGGCTATTAACCTTCAAGGGAAGATATGCACAATACAGTAAAGGCATCAGTAGATACACACTGTTAATTTCTATACACACATAGTAATTCTTCTCCTGCCTAGATGTTTTTATTGGATGAAATTTATCATGTTGACACATCTACTCATTTCTTTTCTAGGAAACTCCATCAGAGCCTGAACCTCCAGAATTTGTGACGGAGCAGCAACACAGAAGGATGTAGTCAACATCTTTCATACAAGGTACATCTCAAATGCAATGGATTGTTAATGAAGAGCAGTTCAAGGGAAAGCTGTTGAGATTTCCATTCTTCCAGAAAATGAGGGTAGGGATGGCCAATGGTTATTGTATTTAACTGTTCAAATGTAAACATCTTGTTGACTTGTGTATATAAATTAGGCTTCCTCTAGTTTTTCTTCATAGTGGAGAGAGAGAGGTACCTCTCTTTGACCAAGATGGACTGTGTTGTATGTTTAATTTTTTCCAGTGCTTACAGGAGGAGTAAGCCAATCACCATGAAATTAGGTGCCTGCTCTGTAGATGCATAAAGTCAGCTGAGAGGAGTCTGCTGTGTTGTTAGAGTCCAAGAAAAAGATATCATGACAGTTATAACTAAATTGATTGAAATTACGAAGAACAAGCCAATGTCTGAAGAGTAGAAAATGCAGGTAGAAAAAAGGTAGCAAATCCACAATAAGTTGGAAAAAATGGTGATTCTGCTTTTAGTCTTTGGACAGAAATTAGAAAGATTATCAGAAATTAGAATGTTGTGTTTCTTGGTCTTTTTTGGATCAGCGAAAGGATTTTGCATCTGCTATAGCATTTGGAGAAGGAGTAAGAAAGTAGCTGACGATAGTCAGAGAGGAAGACTTCAATGGAAACCTAAGAGAAAGTGAAGCTGGGCCCATGAAGCTGTGTGTCAGCAATTGTTACCTAAAAACTGGGATAGGAAAAGAAAAAGTTTATTCACATCATCCCAGCCCTGTGGTGCCTCACCTGATGGTATAAGGTGGCAGAGTTTCATGAATTTCATCTGTGTGCTGGGGCTGACATCTAAGAAGTTGTCTGTGGTACACAATTAAGCAAAAAATGTTTGTTAGCATAACTCTTCCGTGGTGAATTGTGGATTTTAGGCTGTGGTGCTGAAGATATGACAATTCTGGAGTCTGTCCTTCTGCAGTAATTCTGAAACTTTTTGTATAATTTCATCTACATTTGACGAAAGGGTTGATGCCTTAATGATAACTGAGTTTCTTTTAGTTTTTAGTAAGTGGTGTGGTAGAAAGAACGGTCACAGTTGGTGCTTCTGCTGAGCGCAAGGTAGGCAGAAATGAGATGTTAAATATTTCACTTGGCAACAAGCTGCCTGGTCAGGATGCTTTAAGTGACCAACTGCTCCATGCATACTGCTGCTTGCAGCACCCACCTCTGTGCACAGCTGTGGTTGCATGCATGACCCATAGGCAGCTGTTTTGTTGAAGTATGAGTGCTGAGGGGAAACAATTACAAAGCCATAGGATACTAGCCTCCAGTGGTTTGAACCAAACAGTTATCTCAGTTGAGCCTGTTAACTCAGACATGGGCATAAATTTAGGTCATGCTGGTATATATTATTCTCCTTCCCCTGTAGGTACTTCTCTAATTTAGAAGTGGTAGTTTCAAATTTGGGAGCAGTTGGGCAGCTTTTTACACACTGCTTAGGTGTCCAAACCAGTGGAATAAAGAAAGCACAGTCTAATACATATTAATGGCTTGTCCAGCGTATTCAATTTATTAGGTATTTTAGTTCCAGCTCTGCAGTGTGAGATATTGGAAGATGAATTGGATTTAACAGTCCACTCCTGTAAACACATTCATCCAGAACAGAAGGTAGCTACATATAAAGAGTGTTCTTCAAGATATCAGTAATCCTTTTCAGGGTTGTCTTGAACATCCCTTTGAATAATACTGTGATCAGTGGCAGTGATGGTGGTTATGTTTGGAACATTTGAGAAACAAATTGTGCTCTGGTATTTACACAAGTATCAGGAATCTGCAAGTCAGGAGTGCAGAAGGTAAGCAAACCAATGGCCATGCATTTGTATTGAAAAAACAACTTCTGCCATTCACTGAGAACTTCTTACCTTCATTTAGCAATACGTAAGCAGTTCTGAGAGAATAGGAGCAATGTAGTAAATGGCAAAATAAAATTACTAATGAAACTTCAGCCAAAATTACTAATGGACTTTTAAAAAGTGCTTATGGAGAACAAAAAAAAAATTAAATAAGATATGCTAGTCATCATTTCAGTGGTCATGTTTCCCCATTCTGGTCTTCTGGTGTGATTATTGTAAGGAATATACTGTGGTTTCCATGTGAACAACTTAATCTGATTCATATTTCGAGGGGGGAAAAAAAGGGAATCTTTTTTTAACTTTGAAATTTGGGCTGTACTTGCAAGATGTGCATTTGTTAACTGTTCATTTATTTAATAAATGAGAAACAATTGTGTCAGTAGAGGGTCAGCAGAGGGTCAGCGACACAACTGCATCTCATAAAAGAACAGGCATTGTTATCATAGCTTTGGTTAAACTTATTTTAAATTATTATAGCATCCCGTTCACATTCTTGGAGGGAATATTCACTGCATGCATTTAAACACACAACTTAGATGCCTAATTTAGGAGGCTTGTCTCCCCAGATGCCTTGCATAGTTGAAGGAGTGAGAGAGGCTCCTCCAGAGAGCAGTTCAGACTATGTTAGTGAAGCTTCGGCTCTGAATTATCATCTGGAGGAGCCTCTTCAGCTTTGAGAGCTGTTCTATGCTATTCTTTGCGTCTTTTCCTTGGCAACAAAACTAATGTTGCCAGTGAACTAATCTCCACCCCTCAACACTTGCTTATCACTGTCACTTGTGCCAGCACAGCTGTTTGTGGTGGCACTGGCAGCTAGGTTGGTGAAAGACACTTTGAGAAAGATGCTGCTTTTAATTCAGACCGCACCTCTGATCTGTTTTATCGTTCGACTTTGTAAACGATTTAACCTGCGTGCCTGAGGAAGTGATGAGCTTTAGCAAGAGTCAGAAATGAATTTTTGAACTTGGGGACCTGTCTGCTGAATGTACCCCCAGGAACAAGATGTATTCAGCTTCAGGGTTTAAGTTCAGGAGACAAAGTCCTTTATCAAAGCATCATTCTGTTCACATACATTATTTTTGTATCAGTAGTGTTTCAAAAATATCCTAGAAGTGTTTTTATGGTTTGCATCACTGTAAGAAACAGATAGGCTAACCTTATGTATCTGTTACTCGTGTGAAAATAGCTGTAGTTCACTAACAAAACAGCATGTAGGATTTAGAAACATACCAGGAAAAGGTGTGTTAAACTGTATGAAGAGAGCATATGAGCATACATGAGAGCACGGTGTAGTCACTAACATAGAGCAACTGCAATCGAGTTGGAGTAGCTGAAGAAGTCCCCCCCTTTCATCAGACACACTAAAGGCGATTTACTTCTGTGCATGAGCTAATTGCCTTAGATTATTTTCAAAACTATTGGACAGTCTGGCCTTTTGAGTGGTGCTTCAGTCAACCTCTGTTAGATGTATGCTATAGGAAAAAAATGAAGCAGTCCTATAAGGTCCAGTTTCTCTCCATTGGCTATGGAGGGAGGTGAACTGCCTACGTCAGTTAGGAAATAGCTGTGCTGGGCCAGATGAATCCCACCCACAGACAGCACGGCTGTTCCCCATACTTAGCACCACAGACTGCAGGGAATGTACTGACCTCTAAAACCACTCACACTTGGCTGCAAGCATGACCGACTAAAACGTCATTTTCTGATTATTAAAAATCACTTTTGAGGGATTCGATGCCACCAGTGACCATTGCTCGGACACTTCTGCAGTCTCTAACAATTAAGACATTTCATGTTGTTACTGTAGTAACTATCATGTTTTAAAAGTGTCCTTTTAAAACAGTTAGGAATGCTGGCCACAAACCCAATGAGGTGAGAAATTTGTTAATAAGTTTTAATAGTTAATAATTTTTACATGGCATCTTGGGTGCTGCTTTTTAAAGTCCTGTAGCCATCAGGATAGATTTCTTAATAACCTGTGAAGAGATTGTTTAGTTATATATTTATCCATGACCTTCTGTAACTTGACCTGGCTAATTGCTTTTTCTGGCTGTAGTCTCACCTCACAGTCCTTCTCCGTGAAAGTAAGAATGAAAACATTCATAAAGAATCACTGGCTCAGCCCCAGCTGCAGAGTACTGCTGCTGACTGCTCTGCCTGCACCACATAGCCCTGTACACTGTATGTTATCTGTGTACTTTGTGGTATTTACCTGGTCCTGCAGCAGAGTTGTTATTTTAATGTATTTTTTCAGCTTAGAGTGTGAGGGCTGTACAGCATCCTGCTAGAGTGGTGGTGTTATAACTTGAAATGTAGTATTACGTGCCCTGTGGTACAAGTGAGGGCGTTTGGAGGAGGGGATTTGCTCAACCCGTTGGGACACTGTTGCACAACGGGGATCCAAGGATACCTGATATGACATTCTAGGCTTTATTGTCATCTGGGAGTAGTCCTGCAAATGAACTACCCAGGATTCATGCCTTATCTTAAAGGCAAGACCTGTATCCAAACGGATCACAAAGGAGAAAGTTGACAGGCAGCGGGGATGCTCAGCTTCTCTTGGCTGTGTTGTAGATACAGTGTAGATGTTTTAAGTGCCTAGCTTAGTTCTATGATGGAGTGAATAGGACATAAGCACATAGTTTCATACAGGTTATCTCAGTACATACCATAGCTGTAAATAGAACTTGAATACAGAAGTGGTTAATACCATATATTGCAAGCACCTTAGCATTTCATGCATGTTGGTGAAATAAAGCCACTTACATTCCTGGTTAGTAGCTCTACTTGCAACTCAGCAGAGCTTTGACTGGCTCTTAGATCTAAAAATAAAATTCTCCTTAGTGAGATACCATATAATTCAATGATAGTCTCAGTGGGGAGGTAGTGGAAAAGTGGAGTACATTAAATTAATTGTTGTATGGAAGCTTTTCATACATTGCGTGGGATGCTTATATTCTTCATTATACCATATGGTATCCAACTGTAACGTGATAAAATTACTATTGCAGGACAATAAATAACATCATGATTATGTGTTACAGGTCCCACCTCATACATGCAAAACAAGTAATTATAGTTGGAGTGAATAATGGAGATTTGACTCTTGTATACAGGAATACATTTAA